AAATTTCGCTCTATCAGATTATTATTTGCTCCGCTCTTTTTCAAACCTCATGAATGGTGCCTGTCTCGATTTCAGTAAGTAGTTGGAGCGCTGGTTAGATGACCTTCTTGGGACCCGGCGCGCTGCAGTTTAAAATATTGAGGTTGAAAAGCTAACAAGAATGTCCAAAAGGTCGTGCGCTACAACGAGGAATGTAAATTTGATTGATTTTTACTGTAAATTGGTGATTTTGTTGGTTTATAAAAACGCTACGAACTTACGGAACGACCTAATATTTCCAGTCAGAGAACACGAGCACACACACTACATAAATCATTCCCGCTCTAGGAGATTGCGCACTTGACAAGATCAATCAAGATAGTGAAATTCGCGGATGACATGTCGGTCGGATGACATGCCTTGCCGGTTATCCACAGAACATGCAAAATTTGCAGTGGTTCCTTAGGATTTTGTTTTTATCGTTCACTATCACAAAAGTGAAAAATTCGAATGGGTGCTTCAGCGGGATTTCAAGTCGATATGCTCGAAAACGGGAGGTTCCGCAGGACGTGTTACAAAACGCTGCTAAAATTCCGAAAAATGCCAGCGGTTCCGCAGCATTTTGATATGCCATTACTTCCGCAGGTTTTCGAATGTGTTGCCTCTTACCATGTTGCCGCCAACAGCTAGAGTGCATTGTAGTGCAGAGGAAATGTAATTGAGTCTCGCACTCTAAAGCATGGTTTGAATCTCGAATAGGTGTTCTCTCCTGCTGTCAAGGTTCACATTCTTCGGAACTTCCGCAGTACCTGATTTAGGAACTTTCGCAGCACGTCATGGAACTGACAGGCCTAAAGAGGAACTCATCGAAGTTCTCTCCGCTGTGGAAGCCTCTGAAATCATTAGATCATATGAAAATACCAAAGAGGAAGAAGAATTGGATCGTAAACTGCTAAAAGAAGAGATTGAGGTATTCGTATTTGGAAAGCATTTTGCCTTTCTGAAAACCGCTTACAGTGGTTGCGAGAGAAGCTTCAAGTGGCAAGGCAGAGAAATGAAGAACTTCGGAAAGAAAACGAGGAATTGATCAAAATAGAAAGGAAACTAGAAAAGAACTCCGACATTGCTCGTGCTCTCAAGCAGCAGATTTTGGACAGGCGACAAATGGATTCCAACACCTCGCACTGGTTAGCGTGATTTCCATCTCTGCGGGGTTACGGTAGGTATACGGTAGGGAGTCAAATCCACGAAATTGGCTGAAATTGGCCCCAGGGGGTTACCTGATACGCTGATTACGAAAATCACATTTTCTCTGCAAGAAAACGCCTCTCTGCGGGGCTACGGTGGGTATACGGTAGGGGGTCAAAATCGAGATTTGGCTGGGACTTGGACTGGAGGTTATTTAGCACGCTGAACGTGGATATCATATTGACTTTGTACACTCGATGGTTGGTATGGGGCAGATGGGTGAAAATGTCAAACTTGTTTGAATCTTTGCCTAGAGGGGTTTAAAGCATGCTGATAACGAATATCAGGCTTGCTCGCTACAACAACGTTTTATTGTGGAGTTATAGCAATTTGCAGCGCTTAGGGAAGAATCTTCCCCGCTTTTCACACCAATAGATCCCAAAATCCACGAGAAGACCTTATAAGCAAAATGAGCGCGAAATTCGTGACGAGCACATCGCATAACACCCCTGCACAAAGTTTCACCCTGATCCACGGTTTTCACACCTTATAATATACCTACCGTAACGGTATAAGGAGAGGTTGTCGTGCGGAAAAGGTGCGGTATTTGTGATCAGCATGTCGAATAACGCCACTACGCAAAGTTATAGCGAATTCTGAGATTCTGACCCCCTACCGTATACCTAGGTAACCCCGCAGAGAGCGTTTTTCCTGCGGAGGAGATGTGACATTCGTGATCAGTGTGTCAGAAAACCCCCTGGGCTAAGTTTCGGCTGAATCTATGACTTTGACTCCCTACCGTATATACCTACCGTGACGAGGGGTTTTCCCGCGGAAAAAATGTGATAATCGTGATTAGCGTCTCAGATAACCCCCATAGACCAAGTCTGAGCGAAATCCACGATTGAAAAATTTTGCGGCCCGGATAGCCGAATGCGCCAGTTTTTCGGTCATGTCGAATGCAATTACGAAATCTTGTTTATGTCCTTCATTTGTATGAGGCGACGATAAAATGAGCCGCCCTTTTGCAAAAGTTCAACATTTTTTTCTTGCGCAAAACCCCAACTTACCGTCACTTTGGGATGGGTTGGTGTTGTAAAGTACAGAGGCATAGTAATATTCTTTCAGATACCGACTTCGCCATTCGGATGAGGTTCTGTACTCTTTCTCTCTCTACTATACGTCTATGTATCAAATTTTCGTATGGCTCGTTGTTTACAACATTCCTATTTGGTCACTGCTTACATGTAAGCAGTGCTCATTATCTGCTCCGTTCCCGTCCATCTAATCTCAGCTGTTTTGCAAGAACTCTCCTGCTCCGTTCGCAATCGAAACACTTATATGGTAGTTCCACGAACTCCGATGTATTTTTTCTGGCGTTGAGCGCCTCTGCTGATTTAGATGAAAAGCGGAAGCGTTAATAAATACGCTGTAGAAAACTGACACATAAGAAATCTAGGAAGACTTGAACAACTTTACAAGTGTTTGAATAACGCACACCGTAAGCACGCCAGAATGTGCTTTGAGTAGACGTCAATGGCATAGTTGCGATAAGGGGAGTGATGGATCTTACCCCCTTCACTTTGAGGCCAAACTCCCGATAACCCCCTTCACCTGGGCTGAGACTGGTATTGTACTCTGAGATTATGATAAAAATTGTTATTAAAAGGTTTTGCAGGCTAAGTACCTCAAACAACAAGTACACTCATAAACTTACAAAAGAAACGGTATTTATGTTTATTTATATTATTTATTTATCCTCGTAGCATTCATTTGGAGAGCAGAAAGTGAGGACAAAAAAGCAGTTGGTTTTTGGAGTACATAAAATCCCTCATATCTCGCGGCAAAGAAGACCTAGAAGAATATCGACGGTCTACATCGATTCTCCATGATCTCAGCTTTCGAATGGTATACAGCATGTTAGGGCTTTTTTGCTTCACGGCTCTAAAAATCATTTGCTCCGGTGACCCATAAAAGCCAACACATTGTACGGTCGTCCCGAAAGTTCTTGCGCACATTTTCAAAAATTCATAACTTCTGATTTTTCCAACCGATTTGACTGCTTCTATTTTTGTATGAAATAGTAGGTCACGTTTTTTATAATGACATCTTATCTGCTTACTAATGGTCATCTGTTGCATATATAGGAGCGATGGAAGAAAATTGGTCAAAATTTGAATCTGTGTAGGGTCATGAAAAATCGGAGACTTGCAACAAAAATCGGAGCAGTCATATTGTAGGTTCTTTCACCAGCTCATTCTAACAGTGCAAAGTTTGCGCTGATTGAGGGTCTCTATGAAAAGTTATGATTTTCGAGCAAGCAATAGAAAAGGGCGAATTTGGTTTATTTTGGCATTTTTCAGGGAAATCATAACTTTTTATAGAGACGCTCAATCGGCGCAAACTTTGCGCAGTTAGAAAGAGCAGGTAACAGAACCTACAATACTGACTGCTCCGATTTTTGTTGCAAGTTTCCGATTTTTTATGACCCTACACAAAGAATTCAAATTTTGACCAATTTTCTTCTATCGCTCCTATCTATGCAACAGATGACCATTACTAAGCACTGAGATGTCATTATAAAGTGCATGACTTACCGTTTCACATAAAAGTGAAAGCAGTCAAATCGGTTGGAAAAATCAGAAGTTATGAATTTTTGAAAATTGTGCGCAAAAACTTTCGGGCGACCTAATAAGAGCGAGGTGGAGCAAGTTAATAGTAAAAACTGGGCTGTGGATTGACATCGTTATCAGCACTAACGGGAACGTGAGCGAACGCATCTATTTAAGCGTGCTTATCGTTGTTATATGTTTATGTTTTTTTGGTAAAAAATGCGCTTTTGACTGACAGTTATGCCATCATTATTAGCACACACACACTCAAAAAACTATGGGAGATTGGTGAATTTCCACACCTTCACACAAAAACCCGCCCATTTGTGGAATCTACACTCTGTAAACCTAGTGCTGAAGAAGGTCACTTTCGTGAAAACGCTCTAAACTCGCCTTACCTAATTTGTAGAGAATGGTTGGTTTCAATGAATCAAAAACTTTAAGACATTCAGAAGAATAACATGTTATTAAAATATCCCTCAATGTTTTGGAAAGGTTGGCAGTTTGAAGAGGAAACGGCAGGCAGAATACTTTACAAAATCGCAGTTGACTCGCATGTGTTCCAGTTCAACAGCGAGGCAGAAAGAGAATCTTACGCCGACGAAAATGTTGTCGACATTGCTACAGAGTTGACAATTGAGCGAAACTCGCTGATTTCCTACATAAGGAATCCAAGCAGATTGCCTAGTTTCAATGAGGAAATGAGGAAGTCCATTGCTGATCTTCAGGTTGCTGAAGATTTCAAGGCTGCCAAATTCACAAACATTGATATGAACAAAAGGAAGCTGTTAGTACAAAGCATAGCTACTGCTCTTGGATCCCGACTGGAGTGCGAACCCAACTCTGTGCTTTATGCTTTTGGAAGTTATTCGCCTTGTGACATTATGACCTATGATATTGAAAAAAAACCAACGCGCAGCATAGTATCTACTTTTTTCGGTTATTCCGCAAATGCTGTTAAAGAAGAAGTTGAGCAGCTTTCTCGTTAGTTAACAGGACGTATGCCAGAGGAGGCGAAGCCAGAGTTCGACAAGGCCCAAAAAGTATGCAATATTTCCTTCCCGTGTTGCGAAAACATTTGCGATCTGGCTCTTTCCCCATTACTTACCGCAAAAATCTGATGGACTTACTAGCAAAGCTAGTTTCCATTCCGACTAGCACGGCAGAGGTGGAAAAAAATTTTTTCTATCTACTCTGTTATCAGAACACAACGCAGAAGTCGTACAACGATGGAGCATCTAAGCAATTACTTGAGGTTTGTCAACCTTCTACTAAACATATTGTTATCTAAAAAATTCCTTTAAAGGATTGGTATAAGTGGTCCAGACAGGCTGTTACCGTATGACTTTTTGAAATATTCTCAAAGATGGTATGAAGAAACTGGTCACCTACCTGCTGACTTTCCTGGTGCTACCAGAGGGCCAGGAAAAAAATTACAAAAGCGCTTAGAAGAAGAAGAAAGTTTCAAATCCATTTTCGACTCAGAACGCTTTTGCACGCAATTCTACTTCTACTCCGATGACCTTTTGGAGGAAGAAGAAGATTTTTCAGGCAGCGAACTTGTTGTCTCTGACGTTAGCGATAGTGATATTGTTGATGATGATGTGCAGTAATTGAAATTGTTCCTATCTTGTACATTTTTTGGGATAAACCTTATTGCTTTCGTTTTTTGTTGATGCAATGAAATAAGAGCACAGATCTTCATAAAGTCAATTTTAAAATTTTCTATTTTTTTAAATCTTTAATTTTTTTAATTTGTGCCTAAATAAGGCACAAATTAGAGCTCTTCATACCACTCTTTTTTACCTTTTCGCTCTTCCTCCCCCCCCCCCCCAGACTCACATACCCCCTTCACCATGGAAGGTCGGGAATAGCCGAGACCCCCTTCACCTGGGGAGAGCCCGGCTCCCCCTATCGCACCTATGGTCAATGGGCACATTGCTGACGTCAGCGTTGTCAAGTAAACTACTCCAGCGGCGGAAGCGTTTGTGGATACCAACTTTGGGGTAGGTTACCCAATGAGTACGCTAACCTATAACGTAACCCATAGGGTTCGGTGATGAATACGGCCGCCTAAGACTAGACCGAATGTAGCTACGGTAAGTATTTGAGAATGTTCTTTTGGCTTCTTGTCTTTAGAACTCAGAAAAAATACGTCCTGTCAGGTCTAAATATGTACCAGGAAAATCTTATACGGCACATAGCGCAAAACACCTCATAAGCGGGCTAGGATGAAAAGAAAAGTAGGAAATCAAAGGTACCACCATGCTTCTGTCGAAAAAGATTTTCACCTAAAGCAACAAATGCTGATTGTGGTCAAGTGTTCGAAGATTAACAGGTTCTATACAAGGCTGATTTCTTCTTTTTCTAGCTCTATCTCCGCTCACATCTCGTCAGGCATAAAATTAACAATGAATACTTGTGAAATCTAGTTTTTCCAATGAATGCTGAGATTATCAAAGTCTTAGGCTGACGCAAGCTATGCTCGCTCATATATTGGATTGGTCTAAAAGTTGTTTATGCTCACGTATTTACACTCATTTGATCTTGTTAAATAGAGGAAATTATTTTTTGTAACAGCACTTTTGCTGCCCTCTGACAATTGTGAGCAGATTGTGAGCTTCTGAGAGAAGCAAGAATAAATCAGTTCAGGTTCGACCAGTTTAAGGCAGGGCCGCCAAAAGCAAGAATAAATCAGTTCAGGTTCGACCAGTTTAAGGCAGGGCCGCCAAACTGACTTTTTAGCACTTTTTAGGATGATTTTTTCAAAATCTTCACTTTTGTGAAGTTGTGAAATACAAAAACGCTTTAAACACTAGTGAATCTTCGGAATTTGAAATTTCAAAAAATCGATTATGATTGAGCGCTAATCCTATAATTGAGTGTTTATTGCTTCATCGAGTTTCGAATTCTCCGGAAACAGCCTGGGACGCAAAAGCAAGAATCATATATGATACTTTTCCCAGACTTCACCAATCGGAATGAAAAAAATATCAATCGCAAAAAAAGAGAAAAAAATGTGTACGACGACACCTTAAATGCTTGCCGTTTACTGTTCTATGAGATTCAGGATCTCCAATTATAATAATTGATAGCATCGGAGAAAATAGTTTTAGTTATTTCAAAAGCCTTAGATGCCAAAAAATGCATGGTTGCAATTTGTTTGCTCTAAAACTGCTGTTAAGCTTTTATAGAATTCTAAGAAAAATTATGAAAAAATAGGTAAGAGGAGGGGTAGGTAGAAACCATATTTTGAAGATTTCGACCATTATTCGAGCGACCACCTAAGGGACTTGGGACAGAAACATAAATGCTGAAAAAACAAAGGAAATTCTGCATCGAAAATCGCTCAAAGCTCTTGTCTTTGTTTAGCCTGAGTGATATGAACATATGTCCGAAAAGCGACTCGAATTTCAGATCAGCTCAGTAACCAATGTATGCTTCCTGTACTGAATCCTTAGACAATTTAGCTAATTTTTTGGAATCTTATGCACATCTTATTTCGAATTTGCTCCATAGCTTCTCTTGTTATCAAATGAATGCCCTAAGCGGATTTCTCACCTTCCTTTCTTTAAAGATGTGATCTTCTACTTGGGACGTGCTTCGTATGCACTGCATGTTTATAGTAAAACACGTGATTTTCGAATTTCTCAGTTTCTGCATAGTTGACGAAGCGCTGTGTACTGCGACTAGAGTTATGGGAGACAACTCAGGAGGTCTAATTTGTGGATTACCTTCACGATTCTTTAAAGAGCGATCTCTAATAAATCACTGGTTTGAAACATGACCATGAATGAAGGGTGCAAAGACATTTCCGTATGTGTTCATATTGAGAGACGTCGCTGTTTTTCTACTTGAAAGTTTCATTAAAAAGCTTTCGGAATTCAAAGGTCGAAATGGCTTGCAATAATAATTTGGTTGGCATTTAAGTAATGCAAAATTCACTCTTTGGTACCGAAAAAATCATTATGTAAGCTGCTACAAGTGCTGCCATTTTCATCAAATCTATGAGATACGTTAGGTTTACGACATGAAACGAGATGCTCGCTTCGGAATTTTTTTGATTAATCCAGGTTTTGCTGTTCAAATATGCTATTCCTAGCTGCGCGGCATCATTCGGAACCAAGTTATTGGTTATTTTTGTGTAAAATTTCCATGCTCATCGACTTACTGAAAATACGGTGTCATCATGAAACTTTTAGAACACTGCCCTAAGTTTCTCATTAATGAAAGAGCCAAAACAAATGATTTATCCACTGATTACGAATTTTCTTGCCCACAAAATTCTATCGCGAAATTTGAAATTCTATCTGAAAGCCTTTCCTTCTAATTTTTAATGTATGCTTTTGTGGAAGTGAAAATTAAAGTCTTTCCTCTCACTCTTCTTCTCTAAATCCATCAAAAGAGGCGGAGTGTTTCCATGCGCAAAATTGCAAGAAAAGCATAATACAGAAGTTGTGCAACAAAATGCATACCAAAATAAGAGTCCCAAAAATGTCATACTGAAAATTTCTAAGGCTCTGCGCCGTTAAGATACTATTTGCAAAGCTACTAAAGTGCGGTTCATAATTATACGAACACCCAAGATTTTGTAAGTTTTCGGACTTTTTGGGAGATACTCAAAAAGCCGTTGGTACCACGCGACAGAACACAGCCGAAAACGGTATATGATCCATGAGAATGGAAACTGATGTCAATCTTAGGATTGTTTTTGCGCCTAATGCGAATTTTTAGCAGTTCATAATTATACGAACACCTCAAGCAAAAGTCCATTTTTCATTCAAGATTGCAACCATTTGAGTCCAAATTTTTTGTAGAGTTACAGTAACAAAGTCTGACATATCTGCTACGCACTGAACCCAGTACATTTCAAAAAGAGGACGTTACTTTTTTCAGAAGGCTCTAAATGCATTTGGAGTGATTGCGCTCCAGAATCATCTGCCTCTTCTGTGGTTTACGCGCTCTAATTAGTTTCTACCAAAGCTATGAGATAAAGTGAGCTCTTTCGTTAGGTATTTTGTTTGACGTTTGGAAAATCTTTGCGTTTTCATGCCGGTTTTCAACCAAGTTCCAACCTTACCACAGAGTTAGCACGATTTCGAGCCTCAAAACTCAGCTTCTGAAGCCGTACAATGAAGTAAGCTTATGATATGTAGAAGTTCACAAGACTGTATATTTGGCTAGAAAAAATCAGCAGCGTTGAGTGTCTGTTTTGGTCACGCAGACGTTATTTCACCAGAAATCGTGTTTTTACTATTGCAATCACACCTTTATTTGGTTTATAGCTCCACACCCGCAAGATCAGTTCTAGAAAAAACCCAAAAATTTTAGCACAGAAACATCATCATGTAAACAATGCAGCTACTTCATATCAAATGTTTGCGCAACAGAGAAGCTGAGTTTTGAGGCTCGAAATCGTGCTAACTCTGTGGTAAGGTTGAAACTTGGTTGAAAAACGGCACGAAAACGCAAAGATTTTCCAAGCGTCAAACAAAATACCTATCGAAAAAGCTTATTTTATCTTATAGCTTTGGTAGAAGCTATTTAGAGCGCGTAAACCACAAAAGAACGGATGTTTTTGGAGCGCAATCACTCCAAAAACATTTAGAGCCTTCTGAAAAAAAATAACGGTCTTCCTTTTGAACTGCACTGGGTTCAGTGCGTAGCAGATATGTCAGACTTTGTTAATGTAACTCTACAAAAAATCTGGACTCAAATGATTGCAATCTTGAACGAAAAATGGACCTTCGTCTGAGGTGTTCGTATAATTATGAACCGCTAAAAATTCGCATTAAGCGCAAAAACACTCCTAAAATTGACATCGGTTTCCATTCTTATGGATCATATACCGTTTTCGGCTGTGTTCTATCGCGTGGTATTAACGGCGTTTTGAGTTTCTCCCAAAAATTCCGAAAACTTACAAGATTTTGGGTGTTCGTATAATTATGAACCGCACTTTATAAAACTTTCGCTTAGCCTGCCCTCTGGGTCGTTAGCAAGTAACCCTCCTCACCATAGTTTTGGTAAATGAGGATTAACACCAGGACTCAAAACTGAAGTTTTGCGAGGCATTTTCTGGAAGGGTAAACGATTACTTTCCAAATAAAGCTGTTCTTATTTTGTTGCAATAGATTGTACTACACATGACACTCTACTGGCCTTTTTTGACACCTTTTACAAGGTATAATGTGTTCATTACCTTGAAGGTGTGAATCGTGGTTTATCAAAACAATGTGAGGATAGCTTGTGCAGAAAACTGACATCGTAAAAGTATTTGTGTTTCAATCAAAGAAGTACAAATATGTTTGCTCTATCCGCTTGCAAACCTTAGGGTAGGCTAGTACAGCGAATGTTTTGCATTAGTTTTGCGAACAAAGAAGAACAACCACCTAAATTTTACGAAAGTAAAATTCTATGGAAAACAAAAACCGTAATCAATGTATATTATATCCGAGATATTTCGGTTCTTCGTTGATTTGCGCGCAACAATCACTTCAAAATCACTAAAGCCATAGGCAAATACACAGAAGTGAAAGCTGTTGCGAAAGGAGCTGCGAAAAAATTTTGAATACCAACTTATGAGTCATGTTCCTTCTACGAATTTTTCCACAAAGTGGGCAATAAGCAGTTTTGTTTTTGTTGAGCCACCAATGTTTCTTTTCATTCATTATTAATATTGCTGTCATTTCAGTTTAATCTAAACATTGGAAACATATTATCCATGCCACGATTCCATATTATGAGTCACTGCTGCCAAAGCTATGAAATTATCAAAATAATGGCATTTTAATATTTCCAAACTAGCACGAAAAGCTATAGAGTTCCTTGGAAGTGGCTGCGTATAAAAGGAGGAGAGCAATGTCCTGACGCAGCAAAATGCTTTGGCTAATCTGCCTTGTTCTGGTAAGCCTATTCGCATCTTCAATGCAACAATGACCCATTCTTTCCAGATCATCTCCAAACCCGTCTCGGCTGGGGGTGAGTGAATTTCTGCTTAGGGTAAATAAAGTCAATGATAGCTATTCAAAATATGTAAAGGATATGAGAGTTTTTTGGGGACTCTTCCGTGTGCCCTAAAATCGGCAGTAGTCACCCACTTACAAAAGCTCTGACATTCTACCTATTTCAGAGTGCAGGACGCATCTGTTTTCTTTCTTCTCTAAATTCGATCAGTCTGAATACACTAAAACATTTCGCTATCAAACCCTATACCGTGTTGGTATTGCCTGAGGATATCGTGCGGCATAATTTTCATTTTCCGAAACGCAACGAGGTGGCCGAACGGCTCGCTCAAAAAACCAAACAAGGTGCGTCATGTACTCGTGAAAGTAGGGTAATACACAATGTTTCGACACTTCTGTTCGATTTGCAGATTTTCTAATACAACTTTTTCAAATTAACATTTTTGAACAATTCAAGGTCTGTTATACTGAAGGATTCTTCTATCATAAAAGCGCTACGATATTCAGAAAAGGCGAGCGAGAAAGGAGCGAAAATCTGGAGATTTTCTCAAAGTTTTTATCAAAACCGTCTCTTAACGGAGTAATGCTATACATAATGATAAACAGGCATATTTGATAGCCATCGTTAAGTAGCATATCTTAAAGATTATATTATAGCTATGTAAGGAAAATTAGTTTCAAAAACACTGCCGCAATTCCCTGTCATGGAATTATGATTACATTGCCATTTTGCTTAGGGATTGTAATGCTATGGGTTGTTTCATATTGCAGTCGCTACAGCGACTGCAGTCAAATCGGCGCGAGCAAAAGATACCGATCGATTGACTGCTGCTGCTGCAGCGATTGCAGTATGAAACAATATAACTGTGAAGCATATGTAGTAAGCATCGGAAAGAGCAATAAAAGTTTCTCTAGGCATTTAATTTCAGTGCATTAAGTGCAAAACTCTTAGAAATTAGCTGAACATAAATAAGGCAATCAAGAAGGACAGAACTTTTTGAGCAATTTAGTATACCATACCCTTCAAGCGCAAATGACCTGCTTGGCCAAAAATGGTGAGAAAAACAGCATATGTAATAAGAATAGTGCGATATTGTGACCGTTCAAACTTTTATTAACTTTTATTCATCCATTCCTTGTTATGATTCTCTATGTCTCTTTAAGTGTGTAATTAGATGAGAGACACATTCTTCAAAATTGTAGCCTATCGAGATTTAGCAAGTGTCTGTTTAGTAAATAACTGCAACGGGAGATTTGCTATATTTTAAAAAGGAGCAAGGATTAGCGATTCCACGAATAAGTTTTTTGTTTGATGTGAGTATATCATCGCAATGCGTTAACCAAATACTTTACAATCGTAACAAGTTTCATCTCACAGCCTCAATAGTGCCACCATGCATCCTATGGATCAAATCGGCATCTGTTTTGGCTGAAGGTGAGCACAGTTCTGCTCAGAGAAGGATATTATAGGCCATTATAGCCAATAAATATGAAAAAGAGCTCACAAGGGAATGGTCAGAAGTCGAAGTGACCAATCCCTACAAGCTGCATACCATTCGATGTATAGTCGTCCTCACCCCACTAGTCGGTCGGTGATCGAATTTGTATTCGAACTGGAGCAGGCGCAGCGGCAGAGCGCGGCAGACCGCCCTTCAGCCAACCGCTTGCACATGAGCTTTCCTCTTAATTTCTTCGTGTTTCTTTGCTATCTCTCGCATTGCGGCAATGTTCTTAATCAGATTAATAGATTTCGTACCGCTAACTATTGTTTTGTGCAGTTGTGCTCGTTTGTTTTACATTCTTTCCAGGTAAACCGAGAAAGGATGTGATCGGAGATTTTTGGATGAGAAATCTCTTTTCCGCTGAGTGACATATACACAAATGTGATTTGATGAACTGTGTCAGAGTCAAAGTTTTTCGTTAGAATGTGCACTCTAAACTTTTTTTTGCAATAGGGCTGAAATTCTCTCAAAAAGTGTTTGTTTCAAAGAGTTAGCGGTTAAAATCTGAAAATCTGATTAAGAACACTGCCGCAATACGAGAGATAGCAAAACACGAAGGAAATAAGAATAAAGTTCGAGCAAGCGATTGGCTGATGGGCGGCGTCTGCCGCGCTCTTCCGCGGCCGGCCTGCTCCAGTTCGAATTCAAATTCGACCACCCACCGACTAGTGGGGACGACTATAGCATAGAAGGTACTTTTCCGTTATCCGGACCCATTTTTTCAAAAAGCTCTCATAAATTACGTTCTTTAGACTAAGACCAATTTTTCATAGATCCCACAAGGACTACCTCCCTGCCACGTGTCAGGAAAATATTGACACGTTTTGGTCTATTTTGACATGTTTTTTTCAAAATCGTTTCCGGTGAGGTAAAAGAGCAATTGTGATAACCTAAAAGCTGTTTGATTGTTTTCTATAAAAGCAAAACAATCTCGAACTTATACTAGAACATCTGAATTGGTTTCAGCAATGACTCAGCATTGTCTTTCTCTTCAAACTTTTCATCACGCGAATTTAGCGACACAAGACTATAAATGATGACTTGAAGTTCCTTGTTGCTGTTTGTTTCGTCACTTACAAGGGAATGGTCAGAAATCGAAGTGGCCATTCCAGACAAGCTGCCTAGCTTTAGATGCAGCATGAAGCGCTGACTCTAAATCTGTCTTCTTTATCTGCTTATCGCTTTTCTGGACGAAGTTATAAGCCATTAAAGACCATTGTTTTGCTTAGAAATTATGCGTGAAATTTAAAATTTAGCCGTACAGAGCCTTGTTCGCCTCAATGCTGGGCCAAAACATGCAGCTAGCTTACTTAAAATTTTTGAAGCCAGAAGCCGAGCTAAAAGTGCAGCAATGTGCTCAATTTCGCTGTTTTTATGTACGATTTTTTCACAATAAAACCGCTTGTAGCTTCGTCCACAGAAGCGGGAAGCAGATAAGGAAGACAGATTCGAAGTCAGCGTTTTATACTGCATCGAATGATATACAGCTTGTTTGGTTTGGCCACTTCGACTTCTGACCATTCCCTTTTTAGATGATGGGACCCTAGCTCACTTGCCTATTCTGGGCAATCTAATCTGTTCATTAATAGCTGAACGACGTTATTATGATAATGATTTTCATTTTTAGCAGTGTTTAATCGAGAATGGGGCTACTATTGCTTAAAAAACAGATTGGAATTGCTTCGCTAAGTAGGCAACTCAAACTCTTGGTTGAACTTGTTAAACATGTAAATGACACGTCAAATTTTTTTGACACGTGGCAGGAAGGTTGACAATCGTTCCTGTAAAGCTGGGACCAAATATGGTGCAAGGGAGGAAGCAATATCCTTCTTCGAAAAAATGGGTCCGGATAACGGAAAAGTACCGCATAGAATGCTGATTTCAGATCTGTCTTCCATATCTGCAGAGCGCCTTTGTAGGCGAGGTTATGAGCAGGGTCAAACGTGGGGTGTGGCACGCCACACGTGGGGGGTCGTAATGAGGAGTCAAAAGGGAAGGGAGTCGCAGTTGGGTAATCTGATAATAGTGAAACATTGTATTCGTATCATATCCATAATTAGCATGTCAATTAGCCCCTGTATACAAAGTTTGAGTGAGTTCTGAAGATTCAAGATACTAGGCTACCTAAGTGAAATAGTCATTTTCCAACATGGTTAACTTTGTTTCAAAGGTGAATTAGCTATCCGTTTTTGAACTCAAGACAAAGCACTACTCCTTCTTTGTCCGTCTCAGAAGTCCCGCTTCAAGACCTCCAAACTGTGGAATTAGAAGCCAACCAAAATCTCATTTTTCCCACTTTTCGCTTTCAATGCCTGTGATTTCACCAAATATTGCTCAGAGCAAGAAGACGAATCAGGCTTTAACATTCCTATGGAATCTACGAAATCTACGAGGTTTAGGCTATCGATTCATATAAATAATGTTCGCTAAAAATGTTTTTTTGATATAGTTAATGGGGTGTGGCACACCCCCTTAAAAGCTGTGGCAGCCACAGCTTTTAAGGGGTTGTACACCCCATTAACTATGTCGTAAAAACATTTTTAGCAAATAGAACTCCTAGTTTTCACAGGAGTGACTTTAGCCTGATTCGTTTTCTTTGCTCTGAGTAATATTTGGTGAAAGCACAGGCATTAAAAGCGAAAAATGGGAAAAATGAGATTTTGGTTGGCTTCTAATTCCACAGTTTGGAGGTCTTAAAGCGGGACTTCTGAGATGGACAAAGAAGGAGTAGTGCTTTGTCTTGAGTGCAAAAACGGATAGCTAATTCACCTTTGAAACAAAGTTAACCGTGTTGGAAAATGACCATTTCACTTAGGTAGCCTAGTATCTTGGATCTTCAGAATTCGCTCAAAATTTGTCTACAGGGGTTAATTGACATGCTTATGGATATGTTGCCATTATGTTTGACACGGCCTTCGGGGAATAAATACTACTTAGGTATACAATTCAGGGGAGGGGGGTCTTATCAAGGCAGCAATCAGGAGGAAGGGGGGTCGTAACCAGCGATCGTGTGCCACACCCCTTGCTTGACCCTGGTTATGAGCAGCCTTACTGCGAAAAATCGTACACAAAAACTGCGAAACTGAGCACTTCATTGCACTTTTAGCTCCATTCTAGGTACGAGCCATATGAAGTGACCTAGTTGCATGTTTTGGTCCAACACTGAGCCGAGAATAGCTTTGTATGGCCAAGTTTGTCCTTTACAATCACAATTTCTTAGCAAAATAATGACTTTCAACGGCTTATACATTTGCCTACAAAGGCGCTCTGCAGATATGGAAGACAGGTTTGAAATCAGCATTCTATGATGCATCGAATGGTATGCAGCTTGCTTGATTTGGCCACATCGATTTCTGACCATTCCTTTGTCAGATATCAAAAACTTTCGAGCCTTGTGTGCATTCGAATTTCGTTGCTGAGCTATGGGATCATCGCGCTATTCCTGATACGTATGTAGAAATTAGGGCTTGGCACAGATGGCTTGGTAAGCGGGCTTGGCATAGATGGCTTGGTAAGCAAGTTGGATATTGTTTTTTGGAACAAACAGCAAAGGTAATTTCGTTTTGGTTGTAAAGACAAAAAATATGCGACGTTTTTTCAGTCGACTTTTCGTTGTTTGGAGATTTTCTAGGAGTATGGTTTAGGGTTATGGAGGACTTCGTAAAATTCTATGCTCAACCAGATTTTTCGCCTCCAGGGTTTTGGAGACAAATGTCGGCGTTTGTAGCTTGCAAGACTGCATAGAATTGCAGTAAACGACTTTTCTATATAACCATAAAGCTTTGAAATGAAACCCGATAGCGATCAATCCTTTATAATTGTACAAACTTAATTTATAAAAACGTACTGCAATTAATCTTTGGTGTTCAAACAGTTATGTGAAAAAGCTAGGAATGATAAATGTTCGCGTATAAGGACGATCGGAGCCATAATCATGCATAGATGATCTTAATCGCCATAATATATACCGATTATTCTCTCATAAGGTAGCAGAATTTTAGGAACAACAGAGACAAATACGATGGCTTATATTGCATCAAATCATAATGATGATTATTGCTAAATTGTGAAAAAAATGCAATTATACTGCAATTATACCAACATAGGGCGGGAAGCAGATGAACATTGATTATTCTTTCATTGTAGGGACTTGCCCGCACCTTTCTTACAAAGGAAGGATACTTGATCGCAGTAACGATTGGGTAAGCAGTGTATACGCGTTTACCGTCCCCATAGTTGATCTCTAAACCGCATTCCATATCTGCTATGACGTCATTCTGAAGGAGTTATAAAGGATTTTTGGTGCAGTGGATAGCGGCTTGGACTGCGGAGCTGGACGTCGTGGGCCCCATTCCTCTGGGAAGCCATCCGTTTTGCATTTTTGTAAATTTTAGCAGGCAAGGTGCAAAAGCTGTCGACATCAAAAAGGGTGATTTTTACAATATGAAGCAATACATTTACATTTATTAGTGCTAAACCACCGTCTAACCAAACTCTTCGAGTAAGTAAGAGATGACCAGTTGTGGACAGAACATTGCAGTTGATTAACATATTGTGCCTCAAAAAATCGATAAAGATGCCATTTTTGACAGGTTAGCTGCTCCTCTCTGTGTTAAGCACGAATTCGGAATTTTTCAATGTAAATTTGAGTAAAGTATTCAATGAAAAGGCTAAAAGTGGTTGAGTGTTTTTAGGTTAGACGGTGGTTCAGTTCCAATAAATGTAAATATATTGCTTCATATTGTGAAAGTCACCTTTCTTGATGTCGAAAGGTTTTGCACCTTGCCTGCTAAAATTTATAAAAATGCAAAACGGGTGGCATACCAGAGGAATCGAACCCTCGACGTCCAGCTCCGCAGTCCAAGCCACTATGAATTGCACCAAAAACCCTTTATAACTCCTCCAGAATGACGTCATAGCAGATATGGAATGCGGTTTAGAGATCACCGTCTGGGGACGGCATACGCGGTATACACCGCCTACTCAATCGTCACTGCGATCTAGTATTCTTCCCTTGTTAGACTATCACACTTTATAACCGCAGGTGCAATGGGTATCAAGTTAGCTTCATGCCAAACTTTGAAATCGCGCTTGATTTCCTTTCTCTGCATCTTGCTCTCCTGCACAGAATGAACAGAGTGACTGGATACATTTCAGGTGCTACCTTTTGTAAAAATGGCAACATCTCCGAGGATGACGTCAGCCAAACACTCGCACTTATTAATTCAAGACGCACAGTGTTGGCTAGTGGACTACAATTAAATATCAGTGACGGAGACGACGGACCAGTATTAGGACTTGATCCACCAGCAAGAAATATGCGAAAAATGGTTACTCTCATTGCAAGCTGTAATTCCACTCAAAGCTGCTTGAGCTCCAGTAGCTACTACGGCAAAATACAATGAGAACTGAATATTCTTAGCCTGATATTTCGTTCTTTGCAGTTTCCAAAATGAGAATCCTTATAAACGCAGGAAAAAGCCTTCAAATCTTCGCTCCACTTCAAATTTTAGACTTTCATCCCATGTAAAGTGGAAAAGAGATGCAGCTGCATTTTATTTAGAAAGCTCTGCGCGCTCTTTTAACACCTTGAGCACTTTGAAATGAGGGCTGACAAAGTAATAATAGATTACGATTTCGCTGAATGTTCAGGAGCTTGCCATTCTCATGCTGTCATAGATCGCGTTCATGACATAAATATTTCAATCTCATTACATCGTTTTAGACATATGACTGTGCAGTCGAACAGAAAGCGAGAGATCTTCTGGCAACAATGTCTTGTGACGAGTTATACAACGGGGAGACAGAAGTAGGAAAGATAGATCTCGAGAGAGGGTAATTTTTAAATGAGCGCGGCCTGAAGAATAGAAACGTAGTTGCTTCATCTCACACACGCGCTTCGAGCTCGCATTATAATAAACATTGATTATCAAAAGCCTTTGCTCTCTTGTTGCATTGCAATGATTTTTGACTAAACAATTGCTTTGCATCATTTGTTCGTACATATTGATCTAGTTACGATGCTCTCATCATTTAGGTTTTTCTTCAGCGGGTATGAATCTATCCAGATTATCCTTCGGCTTTATTTGAATTCGTTATTTGATTGGGCCGTTCTTGCTTCAAACAGTTCGGTAAAGTACAAATACCGGCACTGGGGCTTCTCTAACATCAATGGCAACGTAAGTTCAGATTCACTGCTGTTCATAAAAGATGACAAGGATCGACTTTCAGTTGATGCGTGCTGATGCGTCCAAATTAGGTTGCGCAAGCAGAGAGTGCCGGGAGAATAACGACTTCCCTTACAACCATTATCTTTGTATGACCGACCAGAGGTATGCTCTTTTTCACAGAGCGCAATAGTAGAAAAATTCAGCGTTTTTACCGTTAAAACGTTACATAAAAAATATCTGTGAAGAATATCTGCTTCTACGAATTATCCATCTGCTGCAACATCTTATATATAAAGCTGAATGTCTGTTTGTCTGTATGTCTGTATGTCTGCCTGTCTGTCTGTCTGTACATATGTTCCGAATAGAAAGTTCCATTTGTGAACCGATTCGGACCAAACTTGGCACACATACACTACGGCCCCGGCGGGTGTCATAGGCTACTTTTCGTCATCGATCGACATCGATTTTATCGATTTTTTGCAAAATGTGAGCTACGGGGCTGGGAGTTGGCACAGGGGTAATCGATCATGCTGATTACGAATATAATAATGACAGGGCCGGGCGGAGCCGGGTAAGTCAACTAGTCGTAAATATAAAAGTAATCTGTTCTAAACAGGATGGTTCTGCAAGTGTTATGACGTCTACGCTAACTACGTCTGCAGCATTATACAAGATGTCCCGAAAGTGTGTATGCATTCCTTGGTCGTTGATATCTTTCTACCAAAAATTTTTGCCGAGTTTTAGGTATATTCCGTGTCAATCACTCCCTTTTCCGTAAACGAATGAGCCGCCACGTTCGCGCGCGTGTAAGTCGGGCATTCAAATAGGCCTCATCGTTGCTTTTATTATTATAAAGTGGTAGCCACAGAAACAAGCAAGCTAGAAATTTCAACACTAAGCTGATCATGATCGCTGACTAGATGTAAAACGCGCTTTACCACAAGGCTTGTTTCTATTAGGTCGGTCCGAAAGTTCGTGCCGTTTTTCAGACCCATGCTCAAACCACTTAGAATAAAGATAGACCAACGCTGTAAGTAAAATCTGATGCAGAATTTCTTACTCTTTCTTGTTTTTGTCTAGAACCCTTTGATGACGCGCAAATAGTCGTCAAAATCTCCAACCCATAATTTTTACCCATCTTAAGTTTGGCTATTTTTCAAAATTTACATTTTCAGTTTTGGACTAGCTTTGATAACAGTTGGTTAGAATAAGCAAAATCCTCTACAGTGCAGTTTTCTGGCTTCTCTAGCCGACTTCCCAAAATTTTTGAAATTATCAGGTTGTCCCATAAGTTCCGACCGTTTTGATTTTCAATCGCTATAAATCATGAACTTTTTGTTTCTAGATAGATTTCAAGGTACCGTCCGATAGAGCAAAGCAAGCTCTACAAGACTGACATCTCGCTTTTGCACCAGCTCTGAGCCACCTCGAGTTTCAAGGCAAAAACTAAAAAGATTCAACTGACCGAAAAATCGAGAAAAATTCATAACTTCGTTTAAAAAATTTCTATGAAATTCTAACTTGCTCGCGTAAACACTATACATCTAACAAGGCAAGACTTGTAAGACATTTATATACGCCGTTACCATATTTTTTCCTCAGCTAGAAATCAGAAAACAAAGATTTTCATGCTTTTGCCAAAGTGAAGCTGCGATGTCCCTGCACAGATAGTTGTCTACTAGCCTGTAGAAGTATGAATCCAAATTTTCTCCCTAAAAGCTTTGGTTCTCGAGAAATATCGAGTACAGCTTGCCTTAGTCGGGTGCCTCATGCTAAAATCCATATTTCTCGAAAACTAGTGCTTGTAGAGAGCTGAAAGTTTACACTTGTACTTCTACAGACCAGTAGTATACAAGCAACTATGTATGAACATACATCATATCATCGCTTTAGCAAAAATATGAATCTTCGTTTTCTTAATTTTTAGCCAAGGGAGAAATACGGCAACGGCGTATATAAATGTCTTAGATGGATAGTAGTTACGCGAGCAAGTTAGAATTTTTTGGGATTTTTTGAACGGAGTTATGATTTTATTTCGATTTTTCGGGCAGTTGAATCTTTTTAGTTTTCGCCTTGGAACTCGAAATGGATTACAGCTGGTGTAAATGCGAGATAGCCGACTTGTAAAACTTGCTTTGCTCTATCGGAGGTACCTTAAAACCTATTTAGAAACAAAAAGTTCATGATTTAAATCAAAAAGGACGGAACCTATGGGACAACCTGATATCTTTCTGATGCTATCAAATTCTATATTTGGTCATTCCCGTCACAGAACAAGAAAGGACTGGCAACCAAGGTGCAGTTCAATGCAGCTTTTTCTTCTCTTTCTGATAGACTTCTTTTCTTCCTAATCTGTTTGATATTTTAGGACAAAATCATTGCAATTTTTGTTTTCGGATGCGTTCCAGGCTGTATCCAGAAAATTCGGAATTTAATATTTTCAAACACTAACAGCTCACCTTGCTTAAATCAATGCCAGATCATAATCTGTTTTTGGAAGTAAAATTGCGAGGATTTGTCACTGTTTGAAGCGAATGTGTAATTCGCTACTACGCAAAACTAAAGGCTTTTCGAAAAATTATCTTAATAATCAATGAGAAGTTACTTAATGAAGCCAAAATAATTCATTGTATTGCATTTTGTTTATTTTATCTAACTGTTATCAAACCTAGTCCAAAAGTTGCAAGTGGAATCTTTTTTAGATAGCCAAACTCAAGATGGGTGAAAACCATGTGTTGGAGATCCTTGCCGATCAATAAGCGGACGTTAAGGGAATCTGAACAAAAACAGAAAATTGGGGAAGAGGAAGAAATTCTGCATTGGATAGTGTCCACAGCTTTTGTCTATCTTATTCTAAGTGGTTTAAGCATGGGTTTAAAAAACGGCACGAACTTTCGGACCGACCTAATATGTTACTAGCTGTCAAACCCGCCCCACCCGGCTCTGTCAATAATACAGAGTGTCCCAAAAAATGTGAACACTTAATAACTTCCTTGCTTTTATGTCTTCCGCCGGGCTTGAGGCACCATTCTATAGAGCGAGGCCTAACTTAGATCTACAGTATGGGGCGAGTCGTCGATCGCTCTTCATTGCTGTAGGATTACGTTAGGAACATTGACAAGGATTTTAAGTCGTTGAAAGCCATATTCTGCCTCGGAACAAAACCAAACAGGCCAAAAACTTTAATACATGGGTAATGGAAGCCGCTGAGTTCAAATATGAAATTTCCACTTCACTGTGACGCTTCCTTTTAAGGTTATCCCAGGCAAACCTTAATAACCGAATTTCCAGCATTTGTCAAAATTGTGATTACACAGTCAAAAAAGCTAAAAAACACCCGTAAAAAGGTGCGTTATGGAAGCAGCATGCGCGAAACCCTTAGTAAACGATTTTTCAGATTTTTTGAAAAAAATTTTGTCAAATGGCATATTTCACAATAGTTCCACGTGCCAGAAGTTCATATCGTAATCCTACAGCAATGAAGAGCGATCGGTGATTCGCTCCATGCCGCAAATCTAAACTGAACCTCGCTCTACAGAATGGTGCTTCAAGCTCGGCGGAAGACATAAAAGCAACGGGGTTATTAACGATCAAACAGTGTTCACATTTTTTTGGGACATCCTGTATATTCGTAATCAGCATGCTCACTTACACCCCTGTGCCAACTTCCAGCCCCATAGCTCAAAATCTGCAAAAAATCGATAAAGTCGATGTCGATCGATAACAATAGCCTACGACACCCGTCCCGCCCCGAAGTGTGTGTGTGCAAAATTTGGTCCGATCCGATTCAGAGATGAAAATTTGTATTCGGAATATACGTACAGGCAGACATACATACGAACAAACAAACATATATTCAGTTTTATACTAGGTCGTTCCGAAATTCCTTTCCGTTTCTTCGAGCTATCATAAAAGCGCGTAAAATAGAGGCAAGCAAACATTTCAAACAAATTCCGATGCAGCTTTTTTTACTCTTTCCAACAGTCATGCTCCTGTGCTGTTTATCCTCGTGATCACTAATATGATCGCCGAAATATCGTAACCATGTTTTTACCATGTCCAACTTCGATGATTTCTTCCTTTTCAACTTTCGGAGACGCTTTGATAGCAGTCAGATAGAGTCAAAGTGCGATTTAACGCAATCTTCTAGCACATATAGCTGGCTTTTCAAAGTTTTCAAATTAAATTTCTGATGCTATCAAATCTCACTTTTGGCCATCTCACAACTCGTAAAACAAGAAACGGCGCGCAATTAAGGTGTAACTCGATGCAGCTTCTTCTCACCATGCCAATAGGCGTTTTTTGTCATCATTTCGTGGAGTTTTTGGGGAACAAATTACCATATTTCTTGGTTTTGGAGCCGACCTAGGCTGTACCCGCAATATGCAAAATTTGATATTTTGAAGCGGAAAAAGCTCATTTGCTTTGTGAATTTGGTGTATCATCATATCGATTTTTGGAAGTTCCAGATTCCGAAGATTTGTTAGTGTTTGGAGTCCTTGTGTATTTCATGACTTCGAAAAAGTGAAGACTTTTGAGAAAATTGCCTTAAAAAATACTCAGAAGCTAGTTGGAGATGCGAAAGTTGCATAACATCGCACTTTGTTTACGCTATCTAACTGCTGTCAAAGCTTCTTCAAAAGTTTGAAATGAAGAGAAAAACTTGCCAAATTTGGACATGGTAAAACCACGGGTCCTATTTTTCGGCGATTATTTCAGTGACCACAAGTTTCAGTGACCAGCGAACAGGGCAAGAGCACGACGTTGGAAAGAGGAAGAAAAGATGCATTGGAATTTTTTTAAAAAGTTTGCTTGCTTCTATTCTACGCGTTTTTATGTTAGCTCAAAAAAAACGGAAAGAACTTTCGGAACGATCCAATATATAAGATGCCAAGTATACCTGCAGAACTATTTTCAGTGCTTTTAAAGGCACCGTCCACCCAAATTGAGGTTGGTGAGATTATGATATCTAGCAGATGCAGGGCCCCCCACTGTATGATTGCCCCCAATTTGCGCTGCCTGAAGTTGCTTCCGAACCGAGAAATTGCTTTGGAAATCGCTTCAGGCCGCGTTCGCGACGCTGGCTCCTCCCCTTTCGGAGTGGGCGTGACGTTCGTCCCGCCCATCCATGGCGCCCAACCAATCACGTGCCGAAGAAATCGCTCTGCGGGTTCTGAAAACGGGGGTTTTTCGTGGTTTTCGCGGATTTTCAACTTGATATTTGGGATCAGGGATATGAGAAGGCTCTCGAACGGCAAAAACATGGAGGTCGAAATTTTAGGTGGACGGTGCCTTTAAAAATTGTTATCAGGCCTTTTAAAAGGCTTAAAAACCCGTAAAAAGGTGTCTAGTGAAGTGAGCATGCCTGAATACACTGCCACAAAACTTAGCAGATTTCCTTTATAGAACTGCGGCCTATCTCAGAATGTGCGATGTGCTGTAATTTTCAGCAAGTCCACATTAATCAAGAGGGGTTGATACTGTAAATCTGAGATCAGGCAGCTCTACAGTATGGTGCATAGAGCTTGAAAAACGGCGCAGGAGCACGAAAGAAAGATCTTGTGGGAAGAGAGAAATTGACGAACAAACAGTGCGTACATGCTTTTGGGACAACCTGTCATTATGCAAGCAATAAATTTTTCACTTAATAAAATGGTAAATTTTGCATGCTATGTAAGCCAACTCCTTGTGGCATACTTACATTGTTAGCTATGCTGAATCGGTCGTCAATTCTACAAAAATTTTCTTCCTTTCAAAGACATGTTTAAAACCACTCTTCTACAGAAATCTCAATGCTCAAATCACGCATTCTTATATGTATCTCTGAAATGTCGCAAAAACTGTGTTCTATGCTATGATTTTTCCACGGCGCGAACTGAGGGTAGGCATTTCGTTGCTGTCATCAATCATATAACAAACAGATGCAACATATACGCAAACTGAATGAAAGCTGATCCACCCAGCTGATTAAAGGCGGCGTCCCTGCAAAACGATGAGAAAAGATGAGTGCCGGGTTTTTGTGGCAATGTTAAGTAGACCCCCTACATAGGCGATGCTGAAGTTCGGAGCGAAAAAGGGGGTCTATCAAGCCTGAAATTTGCTTCGAAAGTGGTCCGAATCTTACGGCAGGCCTGAATGCCACCGCTACAGCGATTTCGAACTGCAGGGCCAAAGCACGCACAGCTCACACACAGTCATGAGCGCAGGGTCCCGCAACGACTCTGCGTCTCCATCTTGCATGCATCTCGTACTGCCTTAGCCTACCGTAAGATCCGGGCCTCGGGGCATATTTCAGGTGCTCCAAACTAGTCATTGCTTAGGTAGGTAAGCTATTTCAACATCGCCACAAAAACCCGGCGCCCATCTTTTTGCCGGGACGCTGCCTCTAAGCTGATCATACTTTGCTTCTTTTATCGTTATGGACTACATGATCATTTTCATGCATGCCGTGCTGTGTCAAGAATTTCTAAAAAATGACTGTATTGCATTTGCGAGGTAAAGCTTTGATCATACCATACTGCTCGTATGTTTTGAAAAATCGACGCAAAGTCGCCCGCTTCATGTGACATCACCGCAGCGTGGCCATGACTCGTTTCAGAGTGGACGAATGCTTAATCTCCAAGGGCACCATTCGACTCAGCTCGGCGCACCTTCTGATATTTAGAAGTGCCCGCTCACACAGTAGGTCAGATTCCACGAATTGTTTCAGCTTTGCTCACGGTAGGTTACTCAATTTGCTTATTCATTGCACTCACTACGCAACACCTGCCGTGAGCACAAATTGAAACTATTCGTGGATTCTGGCCTCTTATTGTGTCCAAACAGGCACTTCTATATATCATAAGATGCGCCGCGCCGATCTGAGTCGAATGATGCCCTTGGAATGAATAATTCATCCATTTTGCAGTGAGATATGGCCACGCTACGGTGACACATGAATCGGACGAGTGTGCGTCCTTTTTTTCAGAAAATATGAGCGGTATTTTAGCTGTTTGCCGGGAATTCGAATGCTTTCGACACTCTTATGGGAAGAGGCAGTCTGCCAGATTCGAGGTTCCTGAACTATGTACTTAAAGGCACCTCTACGTATCTTAGTGGCCTTTTCTTGATGGTTTTAGTCAGTACTTAGAAATTACCGACTGTACATCATCTTTTCTCCTAGCACTCTTCACAGACTCAAGAAATTGAGATGATTAAACTCAAACTTGATTTGCTATGCTCTTCATAATATTCTTGCCATTATCTTTGCTTACAGTGAGTCTTTAGGAACATCAAAGACGGGGAAGAACTCTATAAGGTAGGTGCCGCAAAAGCCGAATGTGATCCTCTGATTCAAGCAGAATTCCCTGGATCGTCCTCTGGTAAGCCTCAAAAAACTCTACTAAACTCTTTTTGCTTTGACGTCCTCGATAACTGATTGACAAGCCTTATGGTCGGTTGTTAGTACTCGTACCTTCCTGCTTTCCCATGCTCCACTGAAAAGAGTCGCTGACTTGATGCGGAAGAAATTAAATGCTATTCAAGTGTAGAGTTGAAAGAGTTGAAATTACACATAAGTAACTGATTTCGAGGAAAGGTGGTAGTCATTACTTTTTTTGACGTTCTTCAATAGAAAGCGAATATGGTGGCCAGAGTTGCATTTTTGATCAAGCTTATGTACCTTTTCATAGTGAAATCTATACAGGGACTTACATGAAGCTGCCATGGGAAATTCATCAAGTAAATCCTTTTGATTTTGCAAGAAATTACAATATCAGGTGGGTGTTTATAGGGGTATTGTCATGACCAGAGTCGGGCAAGAGGTGCGGCACACAACCGCCGAATACGACTCCCCCTCCCCCCCCCCCCTGAGCATTTTCGTTCGCCTGCCGTATGCATGCCATAAGAGCTCTATTAAGCCTAATTAGTAAAACGTTCATAATTATCAAATAATCCCTGTGGGCCAAGTTTTAGCGAATTCTGAGGGTTCCCAATATCGGACCACCCAAGTGAAATGGCCACTTTCAAGCATGGTTAACTACATGTTAGAAGTGAATTAGCTATATCTTTTTGTATTCAAGATAAAGCGCTTCTCCTTAATTGTCAATACCATTAATCCTGCTTCGAATAACTATCAAACTATATAGGAGCCAGCCAAAATCTAGTCGCAATTTGCCCCATTTTTTGCTTACAGTGGTTGTCCTTCCAGCAACTATTGCTCAAACGCAACAAGGCGAGTTCAGCTCTGACCACTTTCACAAAAGCTAAGAGATTTTGGCTATTCAACTCATACAATTTGTTCGTTAAAAGTCTTTTCGAAGGTAGGATAATGGGGTGTGGCACAACCACAGAAAAGCTGTGGCTGCCACACCTTTTTAGGGGTTGCACCACACCTCATTAACTTACCTTTATACCATCCAAATATCTGCTTTTTCCATATTCGTTACTGTTTGACCTCTTTACAAATAGGAATTTCATCTGAAATTGTTTTTTAGGAAAGATATGGTTGTTTTCCCTTACCTATGCAAATGGAAAATACTGCGAAAATATTGGGTTACGGTAACATGCTAAGTCTGCTACGTTAATCGCAAGGCAAGGCAATAAGAACGCTTATATTCGATAGTCTAAGGCTCGTTAATTACAAAAAAAGTGATAAGCCTGATCGATCTTCTCTATTATGAGATATTGAAAGCGAAGAACAGACTAGATTTTGGCTTGCTCTTAATTCCCCAATTTGGAGGTTATTTGATGTGCGATTCCTGATATGAGCAGGAAACTAGTGATTCTTTGTACTACCAGAAAGAAGTAGTTAACTCATATTTGGAACAAAGCTATCATGTTCAAAAATGACCATCTTTTATGGGTGGTCCAGTATTTGAAAACCTCAGAATTCGCTGAAAGTTCGCCCACAGAGGTTTTTTACCATGCTAACCATGGAAATGGTGTTCTTATGTTTTTACGAGTTTTTTAAATTACGCTTACTGTACATGTTGGTGGGGCAAAACATCATGTGGTAGTATTTTGCATGGTGGCCCCTACTGACACTGTTGGCGAATATCGTGTTATCGCTAAAACGGATCACATCGATGAATGACACCCCCCCCCTTCTTCCTCCCCCCCCCTGACTCGTCAACACGAGCCCCTAGGTGTGGCATGCCACACTCCACGCTTGACCCTAGTCAGACTAGTATGACTCAACAACGAGTTGCAGTAAACGATAAACAGCGTGAATTGAGAAAGCGAAAGGGGAAAAGGCCAATGATACATACATAAAGCCGCAGCGAAGCAGCCAGGGCAATTGAATGGCGTAAGTGCTAGTAGTCAGTGCCTGAAGACGGTAGCTGCAGCAGAATTGAGGATTTTAAAACTTACAAGTAGTAGGTTGCTCCCAGAAGCGATCGCATGATATCCTTCCTGGGTTGGGGGGGGGGGGACAAAATAATTTTTGAATGAAGGTGCGTGGTTTTAGCCACTCACCTCGGAAAACTTTTTGGGATGCTTCCCAAACATTTTGCGGATCCACACGAGACTTCAAAACTTGAAAATTTTCAAAACTTCTCAATTATTTACAAGCATAAGCAATTCACTTCCACGTTTTAATATATGATTCTAATAACTGGTACAGATAGTCTTTCGATAATATTTTTGAACAGAACTGACTGGTGGTTTGCACGAAACTGCATGAGAATTTTTTAAAGATAGTAGGTCATTCAGGCAGTCATGCCTGAGGTGTCCTAGATTGATTTCAAACTCCAAATCTGCTACGAAGGTCACTCATGAAGTAAATCAGCAAGACGCTCAGCGGTGCCCAGGAGTTCCCAAAGCCTCGCCGCCTTTCATTGCAGGCATAACTTTGACAGTTTAAGAATAGGAATTTGTTTCTTTTTTGGTGAAGGTTGTGCTCTCTCACATCGATCAATGTGAAGGACCAGAGTACATGGCTCTATGCATCGAGGGTATGCTTGCAGGGGTACTTAGCACCTACAAGGCGCCCTCGCACTTTTAAGGGCCGCATGCACTAACATCCCCGCGAGGAGGGGATCGTAGCTCAAAAGAAAGCTTTATATTTCGAAACTCCAGATACCTGGATTTCAGGTTGTGTACCTATCCGTAAGTATTCCTACTACCCTTCACTATGAACATGTTGAAGAGGAGCGAGAAGCTGTACGAACCGCATTTTCCAGCTTCAGTATGATCCCTGATGATCCCCGGCGCTTTTCTTTGAAGTCATTTTTCTTTCTCCGAAGTTAACGAAAAACCTCCAAAGTTGTGCAGATTATCTAAACCGATAGTGCTAAGCACGTTGCTGGTAAGAACAAATGATGTTTTAAAGTCATGAAATTTTCGATGATCCACAGGTCGAAATTTGAGGTTCACCGAAAAATTCGATTTTTCAAAAACTCATTTGTTCTCATCAGCAACATGCTTAGCATTGTTGTGTTAGATGTTCAGTACAACTTTGGAAGGTTTTCGTTAACTTCGGAGAAAGTAAAATGACTTCAAAGAAAAGCGCCGGGGATCATCAGGGATCAACCAAAAGTTGAAAACGCGGTTCGTACAGCTTCTCGCTCCTGTTCAACATGTTCATAGTGAAGGGTAGTAGGAATACTTACGGATAGGTACACAATGTGAAATCCAGGTATCTGGAGTTTCGAAATATAAAGCTTTCTTTTAAGCTGCGATCCCCTCCCCAGCGGGAGGTTAGTGCATGCGGCCCTAAGACGACCCCGCCCATTTTCCCCGCCCACTGACTCATCTCACTACCGGTTGTGCAGGCTTGGAGGATAGTTCTCAAATGTTCTGGATGAATAAAGAAGGTTGGAAAGTGACAGACCAGAAACTATGAAGATACCATTCGGACAATGTTCCTTTGCAACATAGGGAAGGAAATATCAGAGCGATCGTTTGACTATAAGGCGTTAGTGTGGGCACCGCTTTACCAAAAAAAAGCTTCATTCCTTCTCGAATTCTGACCGTGATAAATCATATATGTAAATCTGATTGTGTACCTTGAGCAAGCTACAAGGTGTTCCAAATTTCTTCTGACGGAGTTTCGACTTCGATTTTTCCGACATTTGGACTTTTTCTAGTTTTCGGTTATAATTTCGCGTAGTTCAACATTATGCAAACAATGCATTACCTTGTAGAGCTTGCTTTGCTTTGTCGAATAGAGAATCACATAATCTATATGGGATATGTAAAATATGACTTAACTAATAAAAGTTCGAAATTGGTTTAGTACTTGCGGGATTCAATTAGTAATCCTCTGTTACTATTTCTAATATGACGAAAAAATTTCAGGATTTTGGAAACCTCTTTTTGTAGAGTACAAATCTCTCCTGGCAATGACGAGTGCCGAAATGCGCGCTTTTCGACATACACCCACTTATCTGCATTCTCTCTCATTCTTCGCTCTCCGACAGCGCGCACATGCAGCGCAGCCCCAGCGCTGCGAGCGCATATTAATAAGCAACTCTTCGGCCTAATCCCAGTTGAAGCAGACTGTATCCTCACCATAGTGCGTTAAGGGGATCTCGGCTGTTTCCGACCTTGCAGAGTGAGGAGGATATGTGAGCTTAGGTGGTAGACTAGTGACGTTTGCTAGAATGACGGCGGGGGGGGGGGGGGGGATAGAAAATGAAGTGGTATGAAGTGCTCTAATTTGTACCTTATTTAGGTTATGCTTCCGATGGAGCAGAATAAAGAGGACGCGTTACACAATTATCTGAGCAAAATTTGTCATGTGTTAACAATATGTTGAGCCAATGTATCTTACATAAGTAAAGTTTGAATATTGTGATCTATGAAGATCTGTGCCCCTGTTTCATTGCATTAACAAAAAACGAAAGCAGTAAAGTTGAGTGTGCAAGAAATGTACAAGTTAGGAACAACTTACAATTTCTGCACATCATCATCAACAATATCACTATCGCTAACGTCAGAGACAACAAGTTTGCTGCATAAGGAATCTTCTTCTTCTTCCAAAAGGTTATCGGCGTAAAAGTAAAGTTGCTTGAAAAAGCGTTCCGAGTCAAAAATGGATTTGAAAGGTTCTTCTTCTTCTAAGCGCTTTGTAATTTTTTCCTAGCCCTCTGGTAGCAGCAGGAAAGCCAGCAGTAGTTGACCAGTTTCTTCGTACCATCCTTTAGGATATTTCAAGAAGCCATACGGTGACAGTCTGTCTGGACCCCTTATAGCAATCCTTTGAATGAAGTTTCTAGTTTCAAAAACTTTAAGGCATTCAGAAGAACAACATTTTATTGAAATACCCTTCAAGGTATTGGAAAGGTTGGCAATTTGGGGATTTATGAGTCAGAGACTGAGCGTCTCACCACTAATCTATCCTAGCGCTGAAATGCTGTCAAATTCTGTCCTTGGAAACCTACATAATTTGACGCCCAGAGGCGCATAGCATATATCGGTCAGAGAATGTGCAAAATTTTTGTGGATGTCCGGAATCCAGGGGATTCCTCGGAAGTCCGCGACATTCCCGGATTTCCGCGAGATTGGGGCATTTCGCGAAATTTCCGGGATTCCGGACATTCACGGAAATTTTGCACATTCTGTGAGCGGTGTTGTATTGGAAACCGATTTGAAAACAGTGTTCAAAGCATTTACGAAAAATGGGAATGTTGCCTTAGGTCTACCGCAGATGAGAAGTTATATTTGAAGGTTTTTTGCATGCTGATTAACAGTATAATTGCTTCGATAACGACGGTAAATCCTTATGTAGAATTCTTGATTTTCGCAGGGATTCTCCTGTGTGGCTACCGCAGTCCCAGTGTAAGCCCCAACGAACAAAAACGGGTGTCACATTTGTGGTCACGACGTAAAACTAGAAAAATTCCATGAGACTGGTCTTCAACGAATGGCCACCGTAACCTTGGCATGAAACGCCAATAAAAAGGATGTCATTTTGGTAATCATTATCCCCCCTCTCCCGCTCCACCTGAGCAAAATTTTGAATTTCTTTCAAAATCTTTTTGAATGTACACCATTCCGTACAACTGGACCCATCGATGGGCATAATTTTGACACCGCAAAATACCCTCCGATTCCAAACGGCAGAAATTTGAGAAATTGGCCTGTTCATGGATTTGTTGGTGCTCTCTAAGATGGTGTGCATGGATTCATCAGGAATTTCCACTTTGACTGTAAACAATTTCCTTATCATTTTTATCACTATCAAGATGAAAGACTACCAAAGGCTACCAAAGAAATATGAACAGATTCCCTTTTCTTTCTTTCCTTCCCTCTCATTCTTTTTTTAGTGGTTTCCGCTTATTATATCGTCGGTCTTTGTATGCCAATCGTTCTGGTTTTTACGCAGAGAAGGTTGCATTCCTTGGATCTGAAAATTTATTGAGTGGTAATTTTTGATGATGATTTTCAACTGCCAAAAGTGCTTTTGACCACCCATTCCAAAGTCAAAATTAAAAGGCGCCTTCTCAATGTAGTGGACACTGTCCGAGATCAAAGCGTTTACTCGCGGTCCGGCCTAGAAAAGTGAAGGCAAAGCAATACCGTTTCGAAGGGTGCTTTCGAAGTCCTGAAGGTTAGACAGAGATCTTTTCTCCTGCTCTCAAATGCAACTCCTGTAATCATGATGCTAGAAAATTGGCTGTCACAAACATTTTCAAGAATACTGTAATCAAGAATTTCACATGCTTGTATTGAAGACAAGAATGTTTCAGATGTCCAAAAACATCACTCGGTGAAGATTTCGGATAAAAGCGACTAGGTGTACGTACTCACGAACATCCCTTATTGCTTTTCGAAACAACAAAGTCCAAAGTATCTCGATGGATACTCATCGATATGAAACGTTCTAGAAATCGCCTTGTACACCGAGCTCTCGCGCTTTTTCAGCCCGGTATTCTGCCCTTTATTCAATTTTTTTTATTTAATATGACATTAACGTGTTTCCTCACATTTTGCGGACTGCTTTTCTTCTAATCTCTTTTGTCTTATACATAAAAACTATGAAACTTTCAAATGCGTGCCTAACGCTACAAAAAAAACTTTCTCAAAAACGATTATACGCTTGATTGAAATAAAGCATTTTTATTGAAAGTCGATCTGAAAATGAGATATGTCTAGAGCAAAGTAGGAAATAATGCGCTAAATTCACTCCTTAACGATAATATCAAAGGATATGGAAATATGTCAAATTTAGACAATCCGTTGAATTATAAACCTAATCACCCTTATTATAATCTTCTCGAAACTTGTGATGGATTAGAGCTGCTAAAGCAAGATTACCATCTTGTACAGCTTGCTTTGCTCTATCGAATGGTGTCTTGCAACCTACTTAGAAATGAGAAGTGTATGACTTATTGCGGTTGAAATTCAAAACCTACATTAATTTTCGGACAACCTAATACCATTTTGTCTTCAACTCAGTTCTACATCAAACGAACCGCCGGACCCTGTTTATTACTGTAAGATTATTGTAAGAACTCCAAGCATTTTGGCATAGTTGCAAAGTAGCGTTCTCAAAAAAGTATTAGATATCCAAAACGGAGACATTTCAGGTGTGACTAGAGTTCCAGAGTACATAATTAGTGGGATCACTCTCGAAAAAAGGTCCACAATACTGTTAATGCTTATTTCTAAAACAGCGACTGCTACTTAGTTTTCAGCTTTTCTGATTTCTTTCTAAATTTAGATTTATTTTCAGGTGCAAAACTCTTTTCAAAGCTCCTATCGCAGTAAAGGGACTTCGGTTTTCGAAAGGAATTGGATCTTCTCGGAGGTTTTTGACTCTGTCTGAAGGAACGTTTCTTTTAGTTACTACTGTATATTTTCGTTTCAAAGATTAAGACTTGAAATTATTTTCCTTCATTCTTTTAGCTCCATGAAATGTCCATCAAAATAAACAATATTGCTTTCAAAAATATATCTAACGATTCTGAAGCTTTTTGCTATAGAACGCCTATTGTAACAAAATTTTGGAAAATTCTGTTACGAGAATTTTTGACAGAAACTTGACTGATCATTGAGGACCTTCAATGTTATATAAAAAAGTTAAACAGAGGCCAACTGCAGAAAGTCTTATCTGTACAGCAAGAATAGACCTAGCAACAACGCGAAAAAATCGAAAATTTCAAGGCAATTTTGGCTCCTTCCAGAAAACCAGAAAAAGCGATTGCTTCAATTGCAATAGCTCCTCGTCAAATTCTTCGTGATATCCAGGTTTACCACTACTTTCTTGACCTTCAGATACACAGTGAGCAAAGTTTGCGCTATCCTTCCACGTCTAATGCTTTCTCAAATCAAAGGGTTTTGTAAAAAAAAAAAACATTTGTGGCATTCATAGGATCAAACAAACTTTCTCGTAAGGAGTATAGATAAACAAACTATGTATTATAAAGCCAAAGAATCGTTGTTTGCAACGTTCTTACTGCGTTCAAAAAAGATAATTTCGGAAAAGAACTACAGCACTAAAGCTGAATTTCAAAAAAACGTGCATTATTTGCGAATTAACTCAATATAACACAGGTACTATACCAGCTAGCAACATGCCCCCTCGGAATGGTTTTGTAAGGCAGCTGGTTAAAGGAATATGAAGAAAGGGGCCAGCCACGTGAGTTAGAGCTAAGGTTGTACTATTAATTCACTGCAAAAGGTAATTTTTAGAATTAAGTCTTAATCTTCAAAGAATAAAGGTTCATCAATCCGTGTTGGGTATGAATCGTTGAGTATTGGGGGTAAAAGGGCCGTAAAAGTCCCTGTAAATGGTATATGAACTGCTACAAGACACACCAAAGTTTTTAGGGAACGACAGCGAAAACCCCTGATTGTATATCAATAATCTTCATTCTACGGTAATTATACCATGGATGCATTATTTCTGTAAATTTAAATTATTATACAAATCGCTATAGTTCTCAATAAGCAGTTCGACTATATCGAATATTCAAATGCGGAAATAATGATAAAAAACTCTTGTTTAGCAAGGAATAGAGCTTGCTCGAGCTGAATACAAAAACATTGTCTCGGATCTTTTCCTTTACGTACTGGGTTATTCTTGCCGATGTGGAGATGCCTTCTTTGACAATTTTGTACTTGAGCTATTATGTGACACAAACCTACATAACTACCGTTTACCTGGCTAGAAATAGTCATTAGCTAGTTGCAGAGTTGAGTTAGTGTTAAAATATACATGCCTGTAAATTAATTTCCCTTTCATTTCTAAATCTAAAACTTCAGTCTTCTCGGAAATCTCTCTTTATCCTGTAACACTATAGGTACATTGCCTTGATAGCTGAGATGTATTAGATCCGAAAGTCCTTGCCGTTTTTTTTTACCTAAGAGATTGTTTTGCAAAATGTGTCCGATGCAGAATTTTCTTCTTTCTCTAGTAACTCTGTTCCCGACACGGCTCTTGCGATGACCGCTTAAATATTATTCAAAGTTCAAAACCTATCATTTCAATCTTGAATTCATTTGCAAGATGTGTCACAAAAATTGCATTCCTAATTCATTAGTAAGTACACACCAGAAATCTCCTAGTCACTGTATTTTTGCGCGTGAATTTTTTGAAATTTAGCAATTGATAAGCTTGCGAGTTGCGCGACGCACATGAAATTCGCAATTTGGAGAAACAATTTCGAAAAGAAAACGGGAAAGTCTGCTAAACAGGTGCGAAAAATGTTGCATATTCAAAAGCTCAGCTCTATCTGCCGGTCATCAAAGCTTACTCGAATGTGAAACAAAAATTCTGAAATCTGCCGGAGATTTTGGATTAAAAACCTCGGGGGGAATCACTTCGGAAACAAAGCTACTGAAAACATGAAGAATTTCTACGTTAAACACAATCTAAAGTACAAGCTTATCTTTATCCTAAGGCTGCAAGTTATTCCAAAAAAAAAACTGCATGACCTGCGGACCGAAGCTCTTGATTAAGAGTAGTGGAGCTTTGTATTGACTGTGGATAGCTTTGTTAATCATGCAATTTCCTGGATATTATTCTAATTCACAGCAAAAAATGCTTTTTGAAAGAAACTCAAAAAATTGTTGGTGCTACATGAAAGAGTAAGAGGAAAACGTTATAGTACGCTACTTGTACAGATTATCTTCAAAAGCATTAAACAACGCATCCATCAATAGTTTAATGTACTTCAAGGCTTAGTGCAAGGTCCTTGATCAACAAAAAACACTCGATTTTAAAGTGCAATAAATTCAAAAGCATTGAGCTACTAGAAAAAATAACGGTTTTCTTTTAGTGTCGTATCGGGTTCAGCTTATAGCAGATATGAGACTTTATTAGTGTAACCTCAAAAAAAAAACTGATGCGGAAAGTTGCAGCTTTGAGTATAAAAGAAGCATTGAGGGTTTGAGACTAAATTCGTTATTTCTCATAACTAGCGCTTGTAGAAGGTTAAAAACCCAAGGTTATACTTGAAAGGTTTGCAGTACAGAATTACCTCTGTGGGAGTAGCCCAGCACTGAATTTGTCAACTTTCATTTCCCAACTTCTATTGTATTCAGCACAAAATTCGTTCTCAAAATTGGCACCGTTTCCTTTCATTGTGCTGCCGTACTGTTTTCAGCAAGGCTCTTTCATTAGTACCGACATTTTTTGAGTTTCTTCTAAAAGGACTCGAATCTCGAAAGTGAAGGGCGTTCTCATAAAACCGCACTTAATAGCGTTATCATGGATATCTATGCACTCCTACATGCTCAGTAAAAATCTAACTGATCGTCACTAAAACAGAAGTAGTGACACCAAACGCCATTGGTTCTTATCTTTGCTATAGTGGTTTTGAAAACAAAAAACGCTTAACCAGAACTTCAATAGCAGCTTTGTGTGTGTGCTCATGTGGCACATTCGGTTTCATCATAGGTACGGATCCCCAAATACAACACCTTAGGATGCTCATCTCTCAAATCAACTCGGGCTTTCCCCAACAATAGTCGAGATCTGATAAGACCACAAAGCCTAAACGGTTATCGTTGCCAAAAACTTCAAATAGGCACTGACAGCGGCAGTTTAGTATCACCAAAGTAACCAAATTTAATCTTACGCAAATTTTTGGAAAGCTCTCGGTGATTTTAGTGAGTGAGGTGGTAGGTCATACAATACCCGAAGTTCAAATTGTTATCTTAAAAAACCCGGGGAAACCCCGTCTTACTGAAGAAACTTGAGTAAACTCCGAATAAATCCACGAAAGTTCGCATGTTAGTTAACATACTCCATTTTACACCTAGTAAACCAAGAATCACGTCAGACCACAAAATTATATTAGTTTTCGGTCTCTACCGACGGCATTTGCAGGAAATAGCTAATGCAAGCTATACATTATATTTTTTCTACATTTGCTGTTGTCTCAAAGATTATTACGGGACCATCATCTCGGGAATACGCGGAAAAAGCTCAAATGGAAAATACAGACTTCCTCGCTTTGTCACCTTAATGCTGAATTGACTTTAACTTGTATTCCTAAATGCAACTAGTGTCTTACGTGGTGTTCGAAAATTTCTCGCATATGTACCGGCACTAAAATCCGGCTTTTGGAATGATCAATCATTGAACATCGATTTTTCACAAAATCCCGACTTCAAATATTGACAAATACGCTGGACAAGTTGGAAGATGGGAACCAGTGGTGTTATATCATGGCGAGTTCGTAAGTTTAGTATGTCCGAATGTGCTGCGCAACCACACAACCAAACGATTAATTATTTGGAGTTCCTTAGAAATTTTCGCAAGAATCAGCTCAAAGACATACATATAATTCTAAGAAGTGTTTTCGTGTATAAACCTTCCCTATAAAATTTCTTTTTTCTACAGATCAGTGAGCGCCAATGCAAAGAAGCCCACCCTCAGACACTCGCGGTTGAGTCGCGCAGGGAATCCGCCCACAAAGTGGGGGTTCGCACCAAAATCCGGTGGACCGGCGCAAGTCATCATTTTAGTTTCGTCCCAATTTTGGTGCGATTTTGTCACGACAAGGGAGGAGATTTCGAAATAATGCACCTATAGGTCAATTCTTCCCAGCATTTGTTGCTTTTTCTCTTCCTTTTGATTTAAAAACTCTTTGAATTGTTATTTTGTACTGTCCAGGGATGACTCTTGTCATATTGACTGGTTGCTGAGTTTTTAGCTTCGTAGCAAATGACCATGTTTGCAAATTCTAGCGAAACATCTTTTTTTATAATCTACAAGTTCAAAGCTGCGCGTACAAAGCAGTCTGTTGATGACCCTTTGGTAAATGCGTTCCGCTCTCGACTTTGAGAGTCGTAGATTTGAAAGATGAGCTGGACAAACGTGGTTTGCCAAAGCTTGGAACAAATCTATTCTTCAGGAACAGTTGAAGGAGGTGAATATATTGGTTTTGTTTTTGGTGAAAGCTTTTTTTATGAACTTCATTTGCAGTATATTTGCGAAAACGAACTACAGAATTGCGTTGATAAACCTGAGTCGCAGAAGAAAAGTCCTCCGCTGAAAGTGGTACATTTCTTCTACTTTTTATTTATTTAAACCTATTTCTGCTTATTTAGGCTTCTCCGGAAACCGCTGGTTGCAGCTTACATTGTCCGACAAGCCGAAGCTTTAGAAAGACAAAGGAATGATGCGGGTGTGTTGCGTTTTCAACACCGCGTATCTCTTTCTATCTTTATTTTCTTCTCTTTTTCACTTGCTGGTTTCTACGGGTCTACCCTCATCTGTTTTATTGTCTTTCATCCAACGCTAGCTTTTTGATATGGTTACCTTATCTGAGAACGAGTCCGCATCACACCCATTCTTTCTGTGGCTCGAACAATTTCAAATCATGCTTTTGCTCCCAGTTTTGAATCATGCCTCTGCTCCCAGTTTTAAATCATGCTTGTGCTCTTTTTGGCCGCCAAGAATCATCCAGGCATAAAACCCATAAGTTCACTGACCTCAGAACAACTATGAGTAACCTAAAGAGAAAGAAGGGGGAACCTTCAATGACTTATCAAAGACGACAGTGCAAGAGTGGAACCACAGGATAAATCTTTGTGCGAAATAAAAACTGCGTTATAGAGAAGAAGACCACACCACTTGATGATTTCTAACTGTACTTTTCTTCGTTTTTGTTCACAGAACAGCCTAGAATTTCGACAAAACTTCTTGAAGACTTCAGAACAGAATCACAACGTTTCATCCTCTGTAATAAATCCACGAAACGCTTTCTCTTCACTCGTTTTCTTTGCCTGAAAGCTCCATGCGTCTGTTTCTCTCCTTATGTCAAGCTTGACATGTGTCGAAAGTTTGCCATCATGCGAAAAGAACATAATCGAAAGAAAGAAAAGTTAATGTGTGGGAAGGGAAACAATGCTATCATAAAAGAGCTGCAAATGCTGTAGAGAACAAAATGATGAATCTGCCAACAAAAGTTGCGAAAGAGCCATAAACTGTGATGAAAGTTCAATGTCGAGCCCGTAAGCTTTATTTGAGAAAAAAGCCACCAACATGATGGCGGTTCAGAGGCCAAGAAATGAAGTCAGCAAATGAAAACAGAAAAATTCATGGTCTTGCGAATGGTGCCAACACAAGGGGTGAGAATGAAGAAGAAAACTCGAGAAGACCAGTGATAAAGTACTGGTGTCATGGAGGACTGTAGATCCGCCCTTAGCTGGGGATCCCTCGACTGGAGCACGGATCTTGTTTGGAGCGCCATAGCTGCTTCTCGTCTTTTCCAGGGATTTTGGCGAGCACATTTTGTTTAAGCTCTCTAAAACTTCATTTGCACTTCCATACATACTCAGGATGTGGTAACAAAGAACGCTTCTGGATACAAACTCTAAAAACATCTTTTTTGACTAAACGAGTATTGGCAAATGCGGTAACCTTACCCTTCGATTGATCCACCTTGGAAGCGAAGCCGTTCTGAACGCTGAGCTAACTACTCTTCAGAATGGCGTCATCAAACGGCCTTGTTCGGCAGAAAGCCGTGAAGATCGTTGAAATTTGATTCAGCATGTTCTACCTAGCATTAGTGTGCCTTGAATACGCTTGTGCCCGAGCTAGCGATGGGAAAATCAGCGGTACAGCACTGCGAATGTCTGCTGGAAGGAATATCCAACATTTTGTGATACGAGCTTTCCCTAGTACGCATGCGATTTGATCAGTCCACTTCCAGCAATCCAATACGAAAAACGTTACAAATTTGCTCAAAACTTTGTCAAGGAATTTCTCCAATACGTGATTACGGATACCCTACATTTCTAAGTTTTGATACCTTCTCGCGGAGTTTCATTGGGTGTACGGGCAGAAAGCGAAGATCTGCCTGGAACTCTGGGCATGAGGGGGTATCTGGCGCGCTAATCACATAAATCGCGTTCATTTCGCATGATAGATTTTTACTACTAAACCTTGTGTGTGTGTGGGGGGGGGGGGGGGAGGTTATCTAGCATGCTTCTCACAAATAACATATTCATCCGTCACGCTAACACCTTATTACAGCCAGCGTGTATACGCATAAGTTCGAAATCCTAGATATTGCTGGAACTTCGTCCAGACGGCATTCGACACACTGATCGCAAAAATCGTGCACTTTTCGCACAGCAAGCCTGGAGAAGTTACGATGTGGAGGTGCGGTGAGGGGCAGTTACGTACTTTGCTGCAATTTTGTTATGATAGAGCGTATACATAAGTAGACCCCTTTTTGGTTCTTACAAGGGACACTATCTTATAGAGCATAAAACGCTGATCACGAATCTGCTTTCCTTACCTGCAAAGCGCTTTTGGGAGGGGAGTTTTGGAAATTTTTTGAGGTAAAAATTAGATGATTTGTCTAAGGTAAAAACAGGCGTTGAGTGTATCGGCACTCAAAAGGATGACTGACATGGATTTGTTAGACTGGAAGTATTTATTGCATAAAAGCCCCTGGTAGTAATCATGGCCCCAAAGCTCACGGATCAAGGTTCTGAATGCTTGTAGCCTCGCTTTCGGATTTTTGTATGGAAAATTTTCATAACTCTCCTCCCAGAGGCGCTTTGCAGATAAGAAAAGCAGATTTGGAATTAGCATTGCATGCTTTATAAGATAGTGTACATTTTATAAAGACGCCATTTCGACCAAGTATCCTTCCCTTGTTAGACCAATTTAGATCTCAAAAATCCACAAAGCCGTGTTATGCGAGACGAGCGCAATATACGTGATCAGAAGGTCAGACACCCCCCCCCCTTCATAAAGTTCGATACGATTCGACCGGTTGCCGCATATCTACTGTAACTTTGCTAAAGGGTCTTCAAGAGCAAAAAGGTAACTCTTTCTTCAAATCTCAAGGTCGCGACTAGTCGCTCTTAGCCTAAGGCATACCTCACGCGATTCCGCCGAATCGCCACGTTCACGCGACTTGGCGATTTGCCAGATTTCTACAATTCTATTGTGCGCGCTTCTCGAACGCATATTTGAGTAGCTTGTGTAAGTCATTGCAAACGCATCAAGTTTTGACCAAAGGCAGCGCATTAACAACGAATAACGAAGAGTCGCTGTTGTGCCAAATCGCGTAGCGACCGGAATCGCGCGAGGTATGCCTTAGGCCCTAGGCGAATTTCCACACAAATCTGCGACTACGTCCCCAAGTCGTATCCCCACTATAACTTAAGGCGCTACCATGGCAAACGAATTTTTTATCCGTGATCTGCATAACTCTTTGGGAAAACAGCGACCTATCTCCAAGAATGCACATGACATTCGTGATAGTAGGCCGAATCCCCCCGTGCAAAGTTCCAGCGAGATCTAAGACCCTGACCTATACGGCAAAGGCCATACCACGCGAAATGAATATCATTTCCTAATCTGCAGGTCAAATAAGCCCCGAAAGAGAACTTTCAGCAAAATTCGTGATATTGAATTTTTGTTTGAACTGGGTAAACTGTGTCTCCACTGTTCATAACCTACAGCATTCTGGAGCGTACCCAGCGAAGTGCTTAGGATACAAAACATCACTCACAGTAGTGAGAGACCGCAAATGAAAGTTACAAAGAGCTGAAAACAAATCCTGCTTGTCAAGATGCTGTTAAAAACGAGCGGTAAGAGATGGCGCTCCAAACAAGATCCGTGCTCCAATCGAGGGATCCCCAGCTAAGGGCGGATCTACAGGAGGAACGGCCCGCCGCCCGTCACCGTCGGCTCAGTACGTGTCGCGGCTCAAAGGCGACGCGTGCACCCGTATACTCATTGAGCATGAGAGGATTTTGCGCAACTATTCTAAGCTACCAGACGAAAAGTGTTTTTCAAACGTTATTTCAGTGCGTAGGTTTCATTATGGCTCTGTTTGGCGGAGCAGTTGGCCAAACAAATCGATCACTTTGCCTCGTGTGCTTTTGTGTAGATGTTAGACGCCAAACAATTGCTTCTAGACTAAGGATCAGACACTAAAATATGGCAGTAAAATATGAGCAGGCAGTAAGGAGAGACCTATGCAGTAAAGATAGGCATGAGTCTAAGCAGATGAAAATTTTCCTCCATTTTTGGTGTCCGCTTCTTATTAATAGAGGGGATAGAAAATGTACAAAAATAATGCAATCTGTGCTGAGATCACGACTTTTTTGCGCGGTCCGGATTAGACTCACTCTGTACACCAAGAAGACAAGGCTTTATGCTTGGACATTTTGGAAAGATAGGATGTCAGTATGGTAGCAATCGAGCCAGTGACTCTGTCCACTCACATGCTTGTCCACTCACGGAAAATATGGCATTAGCAGGACTCCAAATTTGTCATTAAGTTCATCAGCTTCAATCCGGGGCAAGGTTCTGGCAGTAATACCAATCCAAAACTATTGATTTACATGCCGCTAAATGTGGTTTGAGGCGCTACCTTCCTATCAAACGAGAGTATCGCATTCACTAAGTCACAGTAATCTCACTATATCCGCTAAAATACAATTCGAGAAATTTTCGCGACAGACATCGCAACAAGAATGAACATCTACGACTTGTAGGCTTCACAATTCACGCTCATTGTCTGAGGATGACTAGTAAAGCGATGTAAAAATGTACGGTCGCTGTGCTGTTTAATCTTTTCTTCCTGGTAGGATCACACGTTGTTCTCCTTTCCCGCGCAAGTCTTGAATGGATGGTGGAGTTTTATATAGCAATGTGCAAGTATTCCGCCTCTACGAGACTGGCGCTAATCTAATACCCAGATCTCAAATTTCAAAGCTGTGATTTTTGCTGGAACACTATAGATGGGCATCCTCCTATACGTTATTTACGAAATTTTTCCGACCATTATTTTTTTTCTTGCATTGTGTGTCGGGGTCAAAACCACAGATTTGCTTTGATTGGTCTGGGTTATCTGGTATGCTAGATACAAACAGCATACTTATTTTTGCATAATGAGGCTTCTTCGTGGAGTTCTGGAAGGTGTACGGCATGAGGTTATACATACATTTGTCGTGGACCTTGTCCTTTTCGGGCAGACCTATGCTAGGTGATTACAAAGTGATGGGGTACTAGCATGGTGCTAACTCTTTTTGCATATTTGCAACGCCAGCGCAAAAACGCGCTTCAATGATGGGTTTTCAGTGCGACGCGGACTGCGGCGCGTACTGAGCCGACGGTGACGGGCGGCGGGCCGGTCCTCGGATCTACAGTCCCTCGGTGTCATGAATTATACGTGTTTTGTGCTCTAACCTTCACAGTCAACGAAATGGTGCAGACGCGCGACATTGACACCGAACGAAACGGTTTGGCTTAAAGCACATTCAAAGGCTCATTTAGTAGTTATTTATTCAGCAAAAATATACATAAACAAAAAATACACGTAGGTCTTTCCACGACACGTTCTTGTCACAAAATCGTAGGCACTTCTACAAAAAAAAAACCAAATTCATTTTTATCTGAGAGTCGGTGTCCTTTGGAAAATAAATTAGACAAAATACTTTGCTGCAAATTCAATCGCGCAAACAAAGTCAAAAAAGGATTTGAACGGTGTTGAACTTCTTTCAAAAAGCAACGGAGCCCTATTATAGGCAGATGAATTCAAAAAAGTGGTCTGTGTGATATTGTCCCCATTAGGATGTAATAATCATGATGGCGAACAATTAGAAGCATGATCAAATGCCCAAATATGAGAAGAAAAAAACCAAACGAGACAGATGGTGGCAGAAAAAACATTGTGCAATGCAAAAACCGGGAAATGAATCACTGAAGAAGAATTACTGCACCCATACTTAGGAGGTGAACAAAAGACGCAAAAAAAGAACCCGCAAGTATGAACATCAAGTGCAATGTACAAAATCAAGGCTTTTTTACCACTTTCTTAATCAGTGACATGCGTTGTTTATGCGCCTCGGTGGGTTGAGGAGTGATACGGTCTGGGCGTATCGGCGCCGGAGCGCCGAATACATGGACAGAAGCACGCGGAGCTGACGGCATCTTGTACACCATATCGAGTACGAATTCCACGTCTCTAGCCTCGATTCGATGATTGCCGCGATGTTTGACCAGCTTGCAGACATGACTTACGAACTCGTTCACAAATTCGTCGATGTAGTCACAGAGCATATCCTAAAAACAGGGAAGTTGTCCGAAGGCCTTCCATGGTAATCAACCTTTATATTCTGCGATTTAATGAGCAACCAAAGTTTTGAGCGACTAAAACTGCTACAACATGTCCTTTCGTTTGGATCTCGATAATGGAGGGTCTTACTCGGCGAGATTAGAAGAGTTGGTCTTATGAAAAACAAATGCAGATGATGTTGCCTTCATTAACTTGTTGATTGAATAACATGATCAAGGTAGCAAAGTACCATTACACGGAGTTCAAAGAGTCCCCGGACAGGGGAGACGGTCAAGAGGCGCGATTTCTTCAGCTGTCATTAGCTTAAAACTCCAGTTTAAAGCTATGCTAGTCCTAAAGTAGCAGCTAAAGTGCATTAGCTTACTATCTGTCTGACATCACTAATTGCTGAGTTCGGTTGCTTTTGCTGAAAAATGGTCCGAAATATTTACGAATTTGTTCTTAACTGCATTTTCATGGGTTTTTGACCTTCAAAGTTGCTGTAATTCGATTTCAAAGTATTAAGACTGAACAACGCCCGCGACTATCTGACACATCTCCTTTTAAAATTTGAATACTTTCAGACAGTAACAAAACACTATTTAGTGTCCGTCTGGCAATAAAAATCGTGCCTCTTGACATACACCCCCGGGCAGTACAATGGAATGTTTTAGAAAAATTTTAGTGTAGTCTTGTGAGCTTTTAGTTCTGACAAAGATGTGTGGATGCTATTTGAGACTGACAAAGGAAAAAAATTCGATAACATTGGCCTTAAAAGATGCGGTATATATTGCTGAACGAATCTAAACGCTGTTTCTAAATGTGCCTTCTACATCTGCTATGTGGTCTTCAACAAAACTGATGGGCGTTTTTTTAAACTAAACTCTGAAGTGTTAAAAAACAGAACGCATATTGGTAGGATAGTAAATCATGCACTACAAAACACCACAAAAACATTGCACAATGAGCGCAAATCAGATAATCGTCTCAGGCACCACCGCGTCCAAAAGCTCGTACACAGACAATTTTGACTGACCACGATTAATTTGATTGTAAAATCAGGCCAAAAAAAGTCTTAACACCGTTCAGAGAGTTGCGCAGCATACGTTAAGCAAAATTTGGAATCAGCGGTTCAAAGGTATTGGTATACATCACATAACAAAAGGCCACTCTTACCGTGTATCTTCCTTGCAAGAAAACTTAGGAAATCATCGCAAAAAGGGCCGAGCATACATCATGCGATTTTATCGCATTGCGATTCTCCCCACAAGGCAACTGTTACGAGTCTATTGCATATTAATTAGCCGCAAGCAGTATCGTCGAAAAACATCATAATCGAAATGCAAGATCGGCATGAGATGGATTCGTAAAGTTGGCCGGAGAATCGCGAAGTGGTGAAAACGTGTGATGCATGAACGGCCCTAAAGTCTCACTGAGAAAAAATCTCGAATTGTCAGGTACATCATTTGCACTTATCGGAATGCACCATGCGAAGTAAGCAGATAAAACCTGGAAAGTAGGGCAACTAAGAAAACACATGCCGTAGAAAGAAAACGACACGTTACTTTTAACCGCAAAGCTAGAGTGCACGAAAAACTAAGAAGAAAATGTAGCGAAATCGAAAATGTACCTTTACAACATCATCCAAAACTGTGTTCGCACTAGTTTGCCTTCCCAATTCGTCAATGCGCGTCCTATCCAAGATCGAGCCGTTAGAGCTGGGTGGAGCTAGCATTGGCTGCACGTTCATTCCAGGTGGAGGTGGTTGGCCGCCAGGAAGCGGAGCAAGCTGGGCACAAGTTGGTTGCGGTTGTGGAGGTGGCAGCAGTGGGCCCATGATAGGGAATGAAGAAACATGAATTTGCTGTGGTTGTGGTGGTCCTGTATGCACAATCTGCACGGTTGGCCAAGGCGCACTACTCACTCGCATCATCTGAGCCGGCTGTCCCATCACTGGACGTTGAGCAATTTGATGGACAATGCGCTGCTGCGGCACACCGTTTGACGACGGCTGATACACCTGCTGCACCGTTTGCATCTGCAGTGGTGCCGGCTGTCCTCCTGCCCCTTGCGGGTACGGAATTATCGGGGCATGGCCTTGCTGTTGGAGCTGAACTCGGATGGGCCCACCGCCGGGTTGCACTTGCTGTTGTTGTTGTGGTCCTCCTCCACCCCGCCAACTTAGAGCCGCAATCAAATGCGACGGTTCGCCTGGCTGGTTCGGCTGTTGCATTTGCTGCCCATCAGACATGGCTCTGAGATACTGACGATTACTAACATATCAGATTCGATGCGAATGAAGTGAAGAAAGGCCTCAGATGTGCTTTTCTAACTACATAACAAGAAAAGAGCTATAACTGCCTCAGTAGGATAGATATCGGAGACAGTTCCTTGTCAAGCCTTTACAAAGAGCATGACGAAACAAAGTGTTCAATAACATATTGGCTGATTGCACTTTGCACCAAAAAGCGCAAATAACAAGCGAGAATGAAAACATCAAACTAGCTCGTCTTGTCAAGTGTCGTATTCAGCTTCCAAATCAAAAAATTCCGGAGGATCCGGCAAAAATCGTCCAAAAGCTGTGAAAGGTCATAGCGATTTCGAAGATTTGTTTTCAACTGTCAAGAATTGATGGAGTTGTCTGTTCATATGAGGGCTCTGGTCACGAAAACCTCCAAAGGTTTGAGCTACGGTTTATGCGCTATACACCATGCCATCCAAAGTTTAGAAAGAATGGTAAATGCCAGCGAAGAAGAAGTTAAATGCTCAAAATAACATACCGTAACTTGCGCTGATCGCGCAGGTTTTCTGCGGAGGACACACCTTTCCAGCTCCGGCTTCGCCTGCACATGTGTACATCGTCATTTTAGCGCAGGAAAGCTACGAATTCGTCATTTTAGCGCAGGAAAGCTACGAGTCCCCTTTTATCCCCTATTTGAAAACTTGCGTGAACACATGAACAAATTGCAGAGGGCGGGAGCCCGTCAATGTTTCCTTTTGCTTTGGCGTCGCTGAATGCTTCGGTTAAGTCGCTTCGTTTGAGGCATTTCTAATGGAGTCCTATACCGTTCGATATATATTCACCTATAGGGACAAGTTACAGCAGCACTGCGGCACTAGTCAGAAGTTAGACATTAGATGGAACGCTTCTGACAGTGAGAGTTTCCGAAGCTCTCAAAGTCATTGCGACAATGTTTATCAGCTGCTCAAGAAGTTGATAAACTTTCCACTGCATACAGCTAAGGTACACATAGATGCAGATGTTGGAAGTGTGGTTGCAACCAGATCGATCATGGGGAAACCTTTGTAACAAAACTGTTGTTTATCTTGCAAGAGAAGAATTTATGATTGAAGTAGAGATTTATTTCCTCTTCTTGTACACACGCTATCCCTCTGTATAGTTTTGGATAAACTACCCTCTTCGGGTAGGGTTGCGCGGAAAGTTAAGTGATAATATCCCTTCGCTCTAGGCAGTCTGGCAAGAAAGCTATCGTGTAGCATGCTTCTTCAAATTTCATTGCAAACAACCAGATGTTTTTTTCTTGCAAAAGATGCATGGAATTTCTGAATTGTTCAAAGTACATGCGACGACCATGTCCGATCATGGTGAATGATGCTTGCAAACGTCTACTCTTGCGGGAAAACGTTGCAAGCGGAAGTGTCACAACATTTCGCTTCATAACAACAACCACTTTCCCACTCACTTGGAACGAAAACTTATCATGCAAAGGAATGTTACTTTATCACCAAGTATTTATAGACGTCCTTATCATAAAACAAGGATGTGTAGGGACTAGGTTGTGCAAGACAACACCTACCTAATCGTATTTGTATCCGACTACCTAGTGATCTAGTGAGACATACATCAAGCAGTCATGAATCCATCCGCTCAATGTGTCTATCTTCCATCCGCCCATTTTGTCGCATATCGTTTGCATATAGCACATATAGAGTCACTGCGAGATTTGCCATTTGAAAAAGCGTCTTCAAAGACATCTAAAAGTTCGTGTACGCAGTTTTTACGGATGCTGAGTTTGTTATACAATTTTTCACGAATTTTCCAGATTCCAGTGTGTAATTAACTGTAACTAAGAAACTGACGTAAAAAGTTTTCGGTTTCTGCTGGTTCCCTTCTTAAGGCAAAAGATGCCCCTAATTGTCTCAAAACCCCTCTTCAATTTTCCTGCGGTAATTCCTACAACAGAGGAGCGATCGACGATTCGCTCCATAGTACATCTAAGCTGAAGCCAATCCTATAGGATCGTACCCATGGGTTTGGCAATGACTTCGTGTAAGGCTGGCTAATGATCATATAGTGCCTACATAGTTTTGAGAAGCCCTGTACATCAACTCTCAACGTTCACTGGTGGGTTTGAATGGTTCCTGTGCAGTAACTCGATTAGTATGCAAGATGAGCCGTCTTTTTATGTCGCAGTACTTGCTCGATTTCAATACTGAGCGACGCCAAGTTATTATATTAATAATTTTTTCAAACTTCTAATCTTCTCACAACCGTCATAGGAGCAGGCTTTTAGGTTCTCAGGTCTCTTGATGTCATCACTAAGCCGTTTTTTCATCTTGATTCGTGCACCCAGTTTCTTCAAAAAATATAAGTAAGCTTTTAGGTTCTCAATTCTGGTGGCTTAGGAGGAGTTCTCAAGACAGCGAAAACGAAGGTCAACCGATTTGGGAAATCTTTCACGGTTTCTCTAAACTTGATAAGCAGAAGAGACTGCAGCTGAACTTCCAGAATCTGAGCTAATTAGTGTTGATAATGCTTTCAAATCACAAAATGATACTTTTTCCAAACCCTCCTTCTGCTCAAGAATTTTCTGTGCTATGATGATATTCCAAATCGAGTGGAACTATGAGAATGGTTAGCCGCCGCTTTAAATATATGTGATAAATATATCAAGTCCACAACGTCTAAGTTTTCATCATTTTGACTGAGCTTTTGAAATTTATTGCAAAATCGGATGATATTTGGAAGCTAATCAGATCTCTGATCATATTGGCGACTAAATCACGTTATAGCACATTAGAACTACCTCAAATCTCCGAACAATAAAAGAAGGTGTTCATACAGATCCGAACATTCGATCATCAATTGGGATGGTTGAAACGGCAGTTTCCGAAAAGCCGTATAATCGTTCCAAAATAGTTTTTTATTCTCTGTGTTAACTTCCAAGAAGGTTGATCTCTGAACAATTGTACACACAATTATTTGGGAAGTTGAAAGTCAAAGTAGTCCGAAAACAGCAATTGAATAACGGGGAGAAATTTGGAAAGTCCTCGCATAGTCGATTCTTTTATAAAAATGTTCAAAGCTCAAATTTTCTTGGAAGAAGGCATATTATTTATCTCACATAGTGCTTGGAATAGAAGAAAAATGTGCATTACAAGTACCTAGACGGCAGACACAGGGCGTTTGAAAAAACTCCTTGAAACATTGAGTGATGGCTGCTAGAAACGCTTCTCATCTCAGGGTGACGGGTTGTTGGATAAAAACCATACGATTAGTGAGGAGTAGGGAAGAACTGAGGCCATACCCTGATATTCTCTTTACCTTACACTCGTTACAGGCTCAGCTTTCTTTGTTCTTTCCCTGATACTTCCGAATCACTAGTCACTGCACTAGTTTGCTACACAATGAAAAGGTAGCCAGTAGGTGGAGCAATGGACAAGGCATGGCTTCTGGGAAGCAGAGGTGTTAGAACCCTTTTGGGTGAAATGCTGGTGCTAACCAGGGAATGGTCAGAAGTCGAAGTGGTCAATCCAAACAAGCTGCATGTCATCCGATAGCATAGAACGCTAATTTCAAATTCGTCTTCCATATCTGCAAAACATTTTTTGTAGGTGAAGTTATGATCAGCTTTACTGCGAAAAAATCGTACACAAAAATGCAAAATTGGGCACATTATTGTCCTTTTAGCTCACCCCTAGGTACGGTGACATATCACTAGGCCGAGAATGCTCTGTACGGCCAAGTTGGTGCTTTACACGCACTATTTTTAGCAAATCAATGGCCTTCAACGACTTATAATTTCTTCTACAATAGTTCTGCAGATAAAGGAGACAAATTAAGAGTCATCGTTTCATACTGCATCTAATAATATGCAGCTTGCTTGAATTGGGCACTTGATTTCTGACCATTTTCTTGTAAGTATGATGCGAGGAAAGGTGCTAGGAACTCCTGCACGCCCTTCCTCAATTCTTCTGATGTCACTACTAAACCGCTTTTTTGATCAAAAGTTTTAACATCAAAAAAGTACCTATTCTTGATATGTACATGAACCAACTTACTGTGAAGGTTCTATAGTCTCTCATAGGCAGTCATGACATTTTTTTTTCGAATAATATTCAAAAAATGAAAAATATTCGAAAACTGAATAATATTCGAGAACCTAAAATTCGAAGGTCGAATAACGAATGATATTCAATCGAATATTATTTAGCAGTCGATTATTCGTGAATTTTTATTTTCAATTTTTGAATTTCCCTAAGTATAGTGTATTGATAGGGTCGGGCGGAACCGCGTATGTCAGCTAGTTACTTATAAAGGACATTAATCGTATATCCACCGGATTGATTTCTCATCATTACAAAAGATAAACAGTGGTGTAAACAATCCTTTCATCAGATCATTGAAGGTACAAAGAAGATTGTAGGCGGCGTAGTGGCGGTACTAATACCTTTTCAAAACTGATTCTCCTCTGCTATTGTACTTATTTTCCGAATTGAAGGATTCCGCAACTTTATTCGTTTGTTCGGCCTATGTGTAAATTCGCGTTATACTAGCTAGTTATTGCTAGTCGCTATTTTACGGTAACATTTCGGAGCAGTATTGATGCAAGAACAGTGCAGTGCGCAGTTAACACAAGTGACGCGGAAAATTCGCTGATAAAAAGCAGCAATCATGTACTGGTGTAGAGCCCCATTATGCATCGGCAAAGTTTTTGGAAAAAGGCACTTGCCATTGGCAAATGGTGACTAGTTAAGCAAACAATTCGCTTATAGTGTTGTTTGTAAGTTAGCGCTTCGAATAATCCGTGCTAATCTCTCACTTTACAAAATTTTAAGTTTTTTTTCCTATTATCTTGGTCCATAAGTCTTGCACCAAAATCTATGAAAAGTCGTAAGTAACTGTACTAACGAATTTGCTCAAATCAACGTAGCCTAGAAATCCAAATCATGCGCTTTTAATATTGCTTGAAGCAGAATTCTCTGTCAGCATATCACAGATACAGGTTGGTTC